TATAAATAAAATGTATATAAAATCGCCGTGTTGCGACTATTTAATTTGGTCGAACTGCCAATTTATTTCTTCTACTTTTATAAACTGTTGTTGGTGCGGCGCGCGAAAAACCTTGCGTAAGGAGCAACTTATTGCGTTATCATATATGTGTGTACAATTTTCTGGGTGGTGCAAAAGTGAGAGACTTTTTAAAGGGAATCCGCACAAGATTGCAATTTTAGTAATGAGAAATTGCTCACTTTCTTTTATGCAATCCCTCAAAACGTGGAGGTGTGCGTTGTCTTATTTAATGTGCGCCGGAGAGAAAGAGTATTGCAATCTCTCCCTCAGATGTCTACTTGGTAATACATATATTTATGATTATCTCACATCGCAGTTGAAGGAGGTGAAAAAAAAGAGGAGAAAGAAAAATCTTTAAGTGTTGTGAAAATGAGCTTAAAAAAGAGCGAAGTGTATCGACAAAAAAACACTTTGCACGCTCTGGCCAGAGTTTGGATGCTGTTTCTCTCACTTGACCATCTCAGTGGCCAGATATTGTCGCGTCATGACTGAGACATATCGTGTGCTGTGCGAGGGAATTATTGAGTGAGCTTAAGAGCGCGACGTTAAAAGACGGAATATGGAATTGCAACAATATATTAAATGTCTACGCAAAACTTTCTTGACTAAAAAGGAATGTCACAACGCTTAAAAGTATATTCTGCATTTAATAAAATATATTACACATATGCACACTGAAAATTGCACAAGATTTGTATCCACCAAAGTGAAGGTGGATGATGAAATTCGGTGGTTGTTGAGAAGTGACTTGATCGATTCAATTGCACATACAAATAATTATAACAAGAATTGGAGGTGATCAACTTTACGATCATTGATCGCGCTATGTGAATTATAATTAAAAATATATAGCTGCTGATCAGCAGTGCGATCACTGTGTGTGGCCGGCAATTCTGACCATCACTGATGTGATGATGGTCGTGAAGAAATTGTAGGAGATGAGAAGAAGAAGAAAAAACTGCCAATTTCTCACTTTCTACTTGCACAATGATATATTAAATTGTGGAGAAAATGTACACGACATGTGAAGGCACTTATGCAATTCGATAAAATAGAAATTTCTCCGATCATCCGAGGCGAGAGTCTATTGTGAGAGAAATTTCAGTATTTCGTATGGCTTTTTTTTTGTCTGATTGGCCGATGGAATATAATTTCAGCCTTGTGAAAGAGATTTTTCAATTCGTTTTCCGGATTATTATATCTATTGGGAATTAGTTAATATCAAATGAGAGGGAGAAAGAGAGGTTTTTGTGATAATCTATGTCTTTCACCAATCGTCTTTGCCTTTGGGTGTATGCAAGAAGTATAAATTGCGAATGCTATAATTGATGAATGTGTAATATATTGGGTATTTTGGTCTTTTGAAAATTGCGCAGTAACACTTTGTATTTACTGGTATATATGTGTATAGAGAGTTTGAGAAAGACGGGTTGTGTGTTAAGTGTTTATTTTCAATTGTGTGATTTTGGAGCTGTTAGAATGCTCAATCGACTTTGAATATTGCAGAAAATCGTAGACTCAGCGTACAAGATGCCAAAAATATCTCAAGATATCAATAGATGTGCGTATAGTGATATGGTTTCAGAAATAAAATGATACTTATAGCAAGTCATGTGGGGTGTGTGAGATAAGTTATTCTTCCTTATATTTCTCAAACTTATGCATCAACAGAGTGAGAGTTGTGTGATTGTGTGACTGCGCAATATCAGAATTAGTTGAGCCAATTAAAATGCACACTCTTTGCTGTGGTTTTTCGAGGCATTTCTCCTATCGCGCGAATGGGTGAAATGTGTGTAAAAGGTTCAAAGACCCAGGCATTTCGTTTGACTTGCATAGAGGAGAGCGAAATGAGTGTGTGACTTCAATATATGAAATGGCAAAGCCCCAGTAATATTTACGTAAGGTTTTGTGAGATAGGGGAGAACTGGGCGGCTTTGAACTCAGAACTTTGCAGGAGTGTCTCGAGGAGAGAGTGAGTGAGAGAGCCTCGCGATGCTCTATTTTCCAATTTACACGCGTATCACCTCCTGATTTTCTATGAGATGGCAAAGAAGAAATGCTAGTTTGAGAGCATTTCATGCCGGGAGATCACAAGTTTGTTGCGATGCTGTGTTGGCGGAAGAAAGTCAACAGGGTTTTAGACGCAGACACTAGCTCGAGATCAATGCCCTTCTCTCGTGAGCTATTATATTTAATACGAGCATCAACCTCAGTGATGTTGCGGGATTATATGAAAGAAAGTGTCGTAATACAGGAATTTGGTTGATTTGACAATACGTGGAAAGAAAGTTTTCCACTCACTTTTCATCAGTTCCTCTTTCTTTCTTCTCTCTTTTTTTGTGTGCGCAGTGCTGGAAGAAAAGCTGGGAGCACTCAAAGCGTGGCAAATACTATTTGGAGTATCTATTATCCCATTAATAATTTGATGGTATATTTGCTGGCGAGTGGCTATTCAATTGTTTGCAGATTTTCTCTCTTGTAATAAGTTTCAGAGTGTGTATGTGGCTTTTTACCTTCTCAATATTTGACCAAATTACCCAATAATTGCGCCTTCTCGCGCGCTATTGTTGAATGTGGAGGCTGAGAAGTTTATAATGATTTTCGATAATGACTGGTAGGACTCTTTTGATTAAGACTTTGTACATAATATGGCAGTTTTTCAAATTGACCCACCTCTCGATATTGCCTTAACGAGACATGTTCTAGTTTTTCATGATCATTAAGATGCCCCAATACTAAATAATATTTTTCATCTTACATCACTGCCGCTTTGCAACGTGAATGCCTCTCGCAAGTGAGGAAAGAGAGACTATAAATGTGTGAGCCATGTGAGCAAATTGCTTGTTAAGAATAAACTTAACTTCATCCTAATCTACGCTGCCTATATATTGGCGGTTGTGTGTTCTAGAAAGAGTCACGACATTTATGGAGAGGCACTTTAGTTTGTGATGCATGGCGTAAGAATTAGTCGCAATTTAATTGTCAATATTTTCCAGCTTTTCCAGTTGGTTCTGGCAGAAGCGGTACACGTATTGCTAATATCTGTCGTTGATTCTGCCAATATCACGCCATATTTGAATCATCGCCAAAATCATATGAGACGACTTACGCAAGAATTTTGCATGAGCACTGTGTGTGTGTGTGCGTTGTGTGAAATCAATCTCATAAAGTGCTCAAAGAGAGTTACTGAGAGATTCCCAAGATAATGGGGATGGACAAAAAAAGGAGGAGTAACTATTTCATTGTATTAAATTGAGTAATAGCTAATCAGCGCAATTTTATCTCATTTGAGTGTGTCTAGTCTCTGCGGTGGAGAGACATGTTGGGTTATACATATGGGTATTGAGAAGTTGACAAGGCGCAAATCGTTTTGTGTCTCACTGTGATGTTTTGTAATAAATTTTATTGACAAAATGCAAGCGCGCACACAAGAACGCGCGAGGGGGGAGAGGTGGGGAGGAAAGTGCCTCGAGGACATTAGCATTTATTAAAATGCTACATACAATATTTAGTAATGTCTATTATGTAGAATGGTGGCTTTTTTATTTTCAATGTAATCCACACATAGTTTGTGTCGCGCTGAATATGGGCGTTGTCGGCTCATTCCTAGTTATCGCGCGGTGTCTCGCGATGAGGTGTGAGCCGACAGTGTCATCGGCTTCGAGGGTGGGTGGGTGGACTGACGAGGATCACTTCTTGTCTAGAGTCTTAAATCAACACCTGTCGCGTAATTGGACGTAATTGTGGGTGTAGATCCGATTATTGTGTGCTTTGGAAGATTGCAGTAAATCTACTGGTTTTCTGGATTTAAAATGCCTACACTCTAAGTCTATCTGACAACGGACATTTCCTCATAGTAAACACTGTGAAGAAATACTCAAAAATCCTGAGCGAGACTTACTAGCTCCCTTTTACCGTGCTATTGCACATCCTGCGTAAATAATGATGCTCAGCCGCTCAGACTCTCATTCCAATTTACAGCCATTTGTGTCAGTGTTGCGATTGAAATTTCATAGCCACGGTGTTCCTCTAAAATGTATATTTTTTTCTGCAACAATTGCCTCAAGTTTATGAGGTGTTTGGCGGTAGTTTTGCGCTGTTTAATTTGCATATTCCAGTGCCGCTGCTCTGTCTCACTCCATCTCTCATTGGCAAATATGCTAAATTAATTTAAATAGTGCTCCAAAATGTGTGCGCAACCTCCTCATTTATGCTTCATATGTGACTTTTTTGACGCTGCGCCGAGCGATGGAGGATGTTGTGCAAATTTTTCGATGACGGAATAATTGTGTGTCTACCTTCTGGTCGCTGTTGGAGGTGCACTGTATGTGCGCCTATATGGGAATGGGTAGATGTGCCGCAAGAGTGTGTATTGTCGAATGTTGTTGATATTTGTGGTAAAAATTATTAAACCATTGCTGGAGCTGACAAGCAAGTTGGGGCTCTGAATGGAGATTATATTGGGGCAAGAAAATGTCAATGGATGTGCTTTGAGCAATACACGATTGTCTTGACGGTTTGCTGGTGAGGAAATTGAGGGTTGCGCCTGACATATTTGAAAAATTGAATGGAGAAGGTTTCAATTAAATGTAACACACAATGAGTAATTAGATTCTTAACTGTTTAGCTTCCTGTATTGACTCTGACTGAGTCACTTGGAGGTGTTTTCGATTGCTCAACTTCTTAGCGCCTCGCGCCAATCAAGTGAAGTTCATGCAAAAGGCATAAGGAAGGTCATTTTTATAATTAAATATAATTTAATAGAGAATACTCTGGTGTGTATTCTCGCTGTTGCTAGATAGTTATGCAGGAGGAATTTTCCCACGCGTTGGTGAAGTCTTCCGTGAAGGAGACTTTGAAATTGAGGAGTTTGAAGGGATTGAAAGTCAAAGACAGATGCACAATATTCACAGTTCCTTTTCTTCTTCTTCTCATTGCAGAACCCACTTAAGATTAGAGTCGCTGGAAGACGCAGTGGTGTTGGATAATCCGGCTGAGGATTTGCTGCAAGACAAGAGAGGGTGTCCCGCCTATGTATCACCGGAAATCCTTAAGGCGAACACAACGTATTCGGGCAAGGCGGCTGATATGTGGTCACTGGGTGTAATTCTCTATACAATGCTAGTTGGACGGTGAGTTACTTCCTACCCGAAATTTATTAGAATGCACGTCTCTCTGCATATCTCATGAATAATTTATTCTTCTGCGGCGTCTCTTCGTTCCCGAAATTGATGCACGAAAATTTTGTGTTACATAAAAGAAGTGGCAGATGTTTTGTCTCCTTGTTTTGTTCCTTCCACTGTGTACAACATATTGCATCCATTTCGTCATTTCTCCTTGTTTCTTGGGCGTTTTTTACCCACCACACACTATTCCAATTTAACAAAAGAAGGTGCACACCATTCGGTGGAAACAAGTGGCTTTCCTTCGCGATAAACTGTGGGAGCCGAAGTGACGGTTTTTTTCTTCTTCTCTGTACAGTGAATTTATCAAAATCACCTGGCGATTGAGATGTTAAAGATAAGATGATCGGTAGCGAAGATCGATATTTTAACGAATTTTCTATATAAAACTAATCCAATTTTACGCAATTTCTCCACTTCTTTCTCTGATACTTTTTCCTCGGTCTTCCATGCCTTCTCTCACGCCACGCTGAACAGTCAATGCAATGGAGAAATAGTGGAGAGAAAGTGTAAAAGAGTTAATTGGTGAAAATGGTCTTATGACATATAAAAAGTATACACTTACTTTTGTACTCTCAGCACAACTTTTTCAGCCACGCCACACATTCAATTGATGCAATCACACTCTTTAATTTATAGAAGAAGACTTTGCCGTACGGCAAATATTTAAATATATATATATACCTACATATATTGGTCTCAATATGAAGAAAGAGAGCAAGAGAAAGAGTGGAAGTTTAACGTATTTTACCGTCTGCTTGATAAATTTGCTCATTAAAGATGTTGCCGTGCATTTTGTTGTGTATATATCTGCCGAAAAAAAGGAGAGAGAACAGAAATTGGCACATCTGTAGCCCTTCTTCGCTTTATCTCTCCTCAGGATGAATTGTGTGTGCGTGCATTTCATTGAAAAGAGTATCTCTAGAGAGCGAGAATGTCCATCAATTTTGGCTTTGTACGCACATAAAGATAGTAATTTGCCTAAGAAAGAGAGAGAAGGGAATGCAAAGGGAGAGAATGCAAGATATAAAAAGGTGCAGCAGGTGTAAAATTCCGAAATTCGATTTAGTGCAATCATTTTGCTGCACACGAAAATTCAATGGACGGAGGGTATAATTCACCTTTTTTTTCTTCCTCCAACCCTCATCATCAGTCTTTGTCTGAACGGGCGAATAGTGGCTTTATTTCTGTCCCTTGAATCCTTTTTATCTGGGGACGTGATGTACCTGTATCGAGGGCTTTTAAATAGACAAAGGGTGGAAAATGCCACAGGTTCTCATAAATGGCATTTCAACCTATAAATAACGAATGGAATTTTATGATTATAGATTATTGCAACCGTTTTCTTTAATTAAGACATCCGCCAGAGTATTTTCAGCACTTTACTGTGCAAATATTACTCACTCTTGATTGCTGTCTGATGTCAGTGCAAATCTCTTTTTTGCCTCTTTTGTGTAGAAAAAAGCGAGTTTCTCCTTAAAAATAGAATTTAGAAGATATTTCCGCTTGAGACTTTTTCACCAGCAAACAGATGATGATTTATCACTGGCAAAGTTGACTAAATATTCGTGCGATTGGACATATTTCTGTGGGAAAACAAGCAAAGAGAGCAGGAAGTTGTGACGGAATTTTTGAGTATTATAAAAGACCATAAATTATCCTTTTCGCATGCTCATTCGCTGATGCAAAAGGACGAGCGGAAGACACGTTGAAGTTATCCAACTTTCTCTAGCAATTCTTGCTGGCACATCCTGAGAGCGTTAAATCGATATGAACTTCGTTCTCTCTCAGCTCTCTCAAGGATGTTCAACTTTCAAATTTCAACCTTTCCGGGCACATAATCACATTATGCGGCAAGTTTTTCTTACATATTATGTGAGATATCGTGAAAAGGAAACATGTGGTTTGCAGAGGAACTCCGCGATAAGCTCTGAACCACTCAACTAATGAGAATCCCTTTGAAGTGTGCGTTCCAATGAAGGAAAAGACAGTCTTGATGAGAGTATTGATTGTCCTCAGAATAGCACGAATGTTGACTCATCATTAAATCCTTTCCTTCCCATCCTGACACTTGAGGTGCGCTCTAAACTCCAGCAGAATCGATAAAAGTGCTGAGAGGGCTCCGAAAGGGTGTCATTAGTAGCGTCAGTGGCTTTGCGAGTGAATCTAGATTGATATTATAAACAGCGTAAGAGAAAAGTTGTGGCCTTAAAGAGAGTCTGAATGCTGAAAATTGATTAAAAATGGAAGAACAACACAATTTTACCATCGATCCCAATAATAATCCGTCGTCAATTCGGTGAATTTCATTCTCACGACGCCATTGTGTGCTTGTCTCATTTCTCTCCGATATAAACAAATTCTTAACCCAATTTATCTGCGCAACATGTAGTAATTGTGGTGCTTTTTTTCACTTTCAGTTATCCGTTTAATGACTCGGAACACGCATCGCTGTTCGCGAAGATATCGCGGGGTCACTTTCAGGTGCCGGAGTGCCTGACTTCGAAGGCGCGCTGCATGATTCGGGCGCTGCTGAGGCGGGACCCGGAGGAGAGGATCACGTCGGAGGACATCCTCTACCATCCGTGGCTGCTGCACGAGGACAGCCGGGAGGCGAGTCGAACCACTGGCGATCAGTGCGTGCCGGAAATCGATGAGTCGGGAGACGAGGATGACGACAAGTGAACTGACGGCGAAAGTGCAGAGCTGAAGAGACATTTCTTGAATAGAATCACACCAACAGCTTTATCATGTTTAAATGCAAGAAGGAGAAAAAGCGAAGAAGGAAAATGAATTATCTCTCGATTTTCAAGAGGATGCGTGAATTGTTAATTGTTACAACTTTTTATTTAAAAGAAAGAAACTTATCTTTTAGTTTTGCCAGAATACAAAAAAGCGATTTTATATTTTACTTTGTAACTATAGAAAAAGAAGAAAAGAGGAACATTGAAGGCGAAGATGGAATGAGAAGAGATGTTTTTTTTAATTTTTAATAACTATTGAATTGTGATTTTTCTCCATAGTTTATCTTTTTTTCTTAATTTATACGCAATGGAATTATTGAGAGAGAGAGAGAAATGCGAAATGAGAAGTGAATTATGGATTGGGATGTTGAGGAGAGGAGTTAAGGATATGCCATGAAATTAAGAAGTAATCAACCCCGTAAAATATTGTGAAATTTCCAATGAAATATAAATGTTTTTATTTAGGGGCTTTTTTGCATAGATTTTTTTGTGCAAAAGAAAGTGTGAACAGAAGAAATTTTATACAAGAACACACACAAACACACAAGAGAAATATTATTGAAGGAAATATGCGAAAATGTGCAATTTTAAACCTTTCACATTCAATCTGATATCAATTTTAGTGGAATTTTAACCCTCAATTGCCATCAAAGATGAATAACAATTTTATAGCCCTGCAATTTCTCTGTCGAAATAATGAAATCCCCCCAATTATAGAAATCAAACTCTTAACTATTAAGACAATGTGATGGAAAATTTTGAAATTTATAGCAGCCCAGAAAATCTGTGTAGAATAAAACAGACAGATGGAAAAAGAGGGCTTTCCTCTTCATTTTAAAACATTTTGTTTTATGAATCACAGATAAAAAAAGAGGATGGGAAGGAGAGAAATACAAATTTTACTTGTATAGACATTTTTATTCTGTGTAAATGATGATAGAAATTTATTTTAACTTAACGGATAAACATTTACTATTAGAAGAAATGGACTTTTTAATGATAGGAACAAGTAAATTTAAAGAAAAACAAGTGGTTTGTAATTTTATGTCATAACATTTCAGTGTCATGTAATTTATAACAATATATGCCTAATATTCTTCCTCTATCGAACAGAAAACAATAAAGAAATGTTGAGAAAATTAGCTTTGGTGTTTTCTTCGGATGTTTCTTGTGGATTTTCCTATCTGATTTTGAAATTGAAATATCTAATTTTAGCATTTTATTGGTGCAACTTTCTTCACTCTGACTTTGCTATTGGACTGTAGAAGAGGTTTGATGATGAGATAATGTTATACTCACCTTCGCATATAACAGTTCAAATTCTCTCTTTTACCAGAAAATGTGGTGAATATTTCTGATAATAAAAACGTAGCACACGCCTATAAAATAAAATGATCACCGACCGTGCTGAGCGTGTACAGCGAAGATCGACGAGATCTTTTATAATACTTTCAGTAATGTACATAGCAACGGATTTACAAAGGGTTTTCTTTATTGGAAACTTCTTCAATTCTTTATGGAGCAATGGAAGTTAAGGAACACCCTCAATCGTCCCATTCGATATCTTCATAAGTATACCTCCGCAGTTGTACACTCATGAATCCTCTCTACAGCTCATCATGTCCCTTGTCGTGCTTCGCCACGAAGTCGTACAGCGCATCGAGAGTCCTGGAGCCATTGTACTCCTCCAGTTTGGCACCTTTCTTGTACAAATGCAGCGTGGGGAAGCCGTCGACGTCCTGCAGGGAGCACAACTCCTTGTTCTCCGCCACGGTGCAGTCCACTTTGGCAATCTTCACATTGCCATTGCCCACAAATTTAACGGCCAGCTCCTCCCAGGTTGGAGCCAGGCGCTTGCAGTGTCCGCACCACGGGGCAAAGAACTTCACGAAGGTCACTCCAGTCTCGATGGCATGATCGAAGGTGTCTGCAGTGAGCTGGAGAGCGACTTGTGGTGAATCCTCTTTGCTGTCCTCCTGAGTCTTCTCGGCCGGCTTCGCCTCCTTGCCAACCATCTTGTCCACATAGGCCTTGAGATCATCCAAAGAGCGTCCGCCCGAGTATTTCTCCACCTTCTTGCCATCCTCGATCCACAACAGCGACGGATATCCCTGGCGGAAGATACGAAATATTCAATCACGTTCCTTCTCAGCCTCACTCTCGACTTACCTTCACTTCGAAGTCCTGGCAAATGGGCCTATACTGAGTGCAGTCCAGTTTCGAGATGGACACAGCCTTCTCGTGCTCCAGCGCCTTGGCGAGATCATTCCACGTGGGCGCCAACTTCTGGCAATGTCCACACCAAGGAGCATAGAATTTGACAAAGTGCTTCCCATTCGCCACAAACTTGCCGAAAGTCTCATCTGTGAGCTCCTGCAGGCCCTGGACAGCTTCCGGCACTTCCGGCTTCTCATCCTCAGTCTCCTTCTCTTCAGTCTCGCCCAGTTGTTCGTTGATGAAGGTGGTCAGAGTGGGCAGATCTCGCGTGCCGCGGAACTTCGTGCTTTCCGCCTCGCCCAACTTGAAGAACTTGAGCGTCGGATATCCCGTGACTTCATGTGCCGAACACACGCTATCCTCCTCGGTGCAGTCCACCTTTCCGATCTTCACCCGCGAACCCTCCTTGGTGTTCAACATCTCGGCCAATTGCTCCCACGTTGGGGCCAAGCGCTTGCAGTGTCCACACCTGAGACGAGAAAGAGCACATTTCTCGATGTATTATTTGCCTTCAAAACTGGATTTTGGGCTCTGTGAAGATGTGAATGAAAAATTGACCGGCGACTTGAACTTGTCTGGCTGAAGTCAAGGCCAAATTAAGGAAAAGACATGGATTTTTTTTGGTTCCAATTGCCCAAAGTGGCCACGTAAATCATATTTCCAACGCATACAATTCATAATCTCATCATTTTCCTTATTCGCGCTTTAGCACAAAATACGAATCGGATGCTTTTTCCCCTGATTAATCACTATCAAGTGTCCGATTGTGACAATAATTGGTTCCGATATGTTGCTTTATCGAGGGAATTCGTCACGTTATGACTCGTGAATTTCGGCATGTTCTCTTTCATTGTGCGCCCAACAAAGCAATGCGCGCTGCACAAGGAAAGCCCAGGATAAAGAACATTGAAAATCTCTCTATTTCAACCGCTTCACTTGGGGGAATTCTATAATTAATTCAAATGACGACAGGTTTTGGGCGGCGAGAAGATTTGGAAAAAAGGTGAACACACTTCTTCGGGTCTACGGACTTGGAGGATATCCTTGAAAGCCACACCAAAGCACTTCCATAACTTACCATGGCGCGAAGAACATCACAAAGTAATTACTCTCCTTAATTTCCTTACTGAAATTCTCACTCGTCAATTGGATTGTGTGAACAAGTTCCTCATGACCAAGTGAAATTGATAAGAAACTAGCGAGCAGAACAAGCACAGCACCCCGCATCTTTAATACAATAGAGACTTCTCTTCGCTACACAGAGGATTCTACGAATACGCCCTCAAATTCCCCTTTGTAGAGTTACTGATAAGAGTTAAAATAAATCAAAAAGATAAATCAAATACTGCGGAAAATGTGACTGAATATTGGGCGAACTAGAAGACGAATGACAATCCGGTTCTCTGGTGCCGCAAAGTATATAGAAATTCGATATTCTTGCTTGAACTGGAGAGTGTCGCGGAGAAAATCACGGATATTGTGAACGTTTCCCAACATTTGATAGAAGACTCTGTTAAATATAAATCCCGTAGCCTGAATTGGAATTTCAGCTCCGCTCTTTCAATTGTGACTTCTTGACATAATGGTTAAAGTTCCTGTATTGTATAAACAATGAACTATAAGACCATCTATAAAGTTCATTCAAGAGAATCCAAAGAACCACATGCTCAGAAAATTTCACACATTTATGTTCGAAACACGCTGACCAACTTTCATTCAACAATATGACATGCCATGATGGCATTCGGAAGTGTTCGGCTTGAAAATTACAATGAAATTCTCAGCGCGCGAGCGTAAATTTGCCGAGTAGTGCCGGCAGAGGCGCTCTCTCGGGATGTCATCGTACAATTTCCCACAAACACGCCACGCCATCGAATTCAGTCGCAGAAAATATTCAATAGGGTGTGGTTGTGTTATTCGCCGTTTCGTCGAAGTCCGTGTTAAATTCTAGGAAGTACCTTTGTTTTCCCTGCAATTTGCCACGAACACCTGAATGGTATTTCTTCACGCTTAGGGAGATTAGAATAGAATTTAATAAAAGGTCAAAGAGAACGGCTTGTTATCAGAAAATACTATCTTATCTGTGGGATAATATAGGGAGACAGCTTATAAAGTTACTCTAGTATGAAAAAAAAATTCCTTATCAATAGCGTGTTCTTTGCCCTGAGTAAATAAACGATGCAGCACGTAACTTTTATAGGCGTTCTCGCTGGATGCGAAGCTTGATTCATCCTATATTTTGACAGATCTCTCCAACATTTACAGATTTATAGTTGCGATGAAAGCCGGCGATACACATAAAACGCTGTACAAATCGAGGTGGTGACACATTAATGTAGGAGTAGTTAGCGCGATTGAAGGGAGGTATGAAATTAGGCTGCCTAATTGAAAGGGAGAGCAGAGTGGTAACATGAATGAATCAGTGAGCATCTAGTTGATAAACAAAGAAAAGTGTTAATTGTGAAAAAGTGAGAAGAATGAGTCTTCTGAGAAAAATGAGTGTATTCAGTTCACGTTTGCCATCAAGTGTCTTGATATTGTTCATCATACAGTTTGTGAGTAGTTTCAATTTGGAGAATCGACTGCCGATAATTAAGTATGGAGAAACGGATTCGTACTTTGGATATTCCGTCGCGATGCACATTGTTGGCGAGAAGGCGAGTTCTGACAACAGAAAATGGTGAGATTTTCTATTTCTCTTAACTAAAATCTCTGCATGTGACCAACATTTTGTCTGCTGAAGGGAAACATTTATGATGCATTAACATAAGTGTACATTAAACTCCAGTCCATAATTTCTGGATGATCTTCGACCCAATACGCTCAATGTTTTCCAATTTACGTTCACGCTGGTACCAGCAAAACGCCGTTCTTGTAGGAATTGAGCTCCGAGGGGAAAATGTGGCTATAAAATTGTTATTTTTGTGTGTGTTTCCATTATGATATCTCTGTTATTATTAAAATATGAATTATTCCCATTCTCACTCTACAATCTCTAGTTGTGGGTAAATGTTTATCCAGCACAGTATGCAGAGTTTTAGTAGGATTTTAATGATGTTCGCGACATATCATCGTTATCTGGATTATTTGGTAAATACACAAAGATTTTATCGAAATTGAAATTCTTGTAAATCAATATTTGATCAGTTCTCGGCATTTGGAAAAATGTCTTTTTCAATGTTGAGCGTTACTTAGCGTCATCTGCAATTGTGAGTATGAAGTCACAGAGACAGAGAATTATTGGGAGAATAAATCTAGAGATGTATTATGAGTGAAACGTGCGATGACCGGTTCTGACGATGTCAATACCGTCAATACACAACATAAAGTAGGTAAATAAACGTTTTCAAACAAGATTGACTTCTTATTTCGTAAACTTCTTGGTGATAAAACTTGCCAGACGAGAATCACTGTGTCTTGCTCGACTTCTTTTTACAAAATCCATCTCTTATCAACTGTCAATAGTCTAGAGAAGATACTACAATGATAACCTTTTTCGATGTTGATTGAAATTTGGATAGCGCGCAACAAAGAGGATTGAAAGATACGAATTTCACTGAGCGTGTATATGTTGCGAAGTAGTAAATGATGGGACAAAAGGACAAAAACCCATGAAAAACATTTGTGAAGAGAGAATGTGCGAAAATTAAGCTGAAGACTAATATGGTGATTTTCTTCGTGCCTCTTATAAGGAACACATTTCTCCCTATCTGCAGGCACACATACAAGAACAGAAGTGGCTTGTACATAATATGTGCACAGGTAATATAAGCTCCCTTTGCGCCAGACGACACTCCAAAGGCATTCTGCGAACCTGAGTGGGCACATCGCGAAATATAATTCTGTACTTAATATTTAACTCTTTGATGCTTCATTGCATAACTCTTTTCGCCAGTTATCATTGCGGCAGATTACGAATACTTAAGGTTATCGTGCGGTGTGTAGCTTGTATCAGGGGAAGAAATTTTGAAGAAAGCACTCACGTACGAACATTCCTCGAGTCTTTATTTGAAAGAATAATTTGGCCATTGGAATAAATACTGCACTGGATGTGTATTTTAAAGAAATACAAGCGGCCAAACGAGTGTGCGTGCATATGGAATTTTCAAACGGATTACCAGACGTCCAGATTGTTTTGTGTACTTAAATGGCGATTTGTTATTGTATCCAGTGTGAATGAGAAACTTCAATATGCTGCAAGAGCCACCCACACTGTTCCCAGATTCTTTTTGGGCCACTATCATGACCAGATGTGAGCGCGATGATCCAGAATATTAGTCATGAACTTGGAATAAGATGACAATGCAGTAATATTATTAAATCTCTGACGGAGAATTGTGAAGATTGAAATCAAATATGCAGCTTATGAAAACACGGTGATTCAAGAAGATAAATAAAGAGTAATTGTCTCCCTTTCAATCTTAATGGGCTTTCTTGTCACTTGAGTGGAATTTTAGTGAGACAAAGATGCAATTGTTGGAGAATCGCTCACATCATTATAATGACATGGTCTGAGACTCCCTTTGGGAAGTGTACAAGTAAAAAGAGAGCAATATGTGCATGTTGAAATATACATCACAGCCACCACATTTCTTCTTTAAGAGGAAACATTGTTGTGCGGAATAAAAATAATGAGAAGCTAGACAGTCGCCAAGTATGCAACATATGTTGTTCTGAGTTCTAACAAGGCGTGGAAAAAATCCGAACTTTTTGATAGTCTAATTGATTTTATATTGCTAAGAAGCTTGTCCATGACGACGCTCTTCTAATGCGCTCTGTACACTTGGAGAAGTTCCCTTTCTGTCTCCGTTTTGTAGACACTTTCTTAGTAAAGGTGCAATTCTACAACATCTCGACACACCTTCATTCGTATTCCATCCATATGTATGCATTTCGTTTCCATTATCTTGCGTTTCTTGTCGTCGTGCGTTGAAGAAGTCGCCCACGCACCGAAGGGATGCTAATGAATTTACCTGCGTACATCCATAGACAATGCCTAAAGTGAAGAAACTGCAAGACGCTCTTCTTCTACCTCTGGCAAAGAATCCCATAATAGATAATGCAGAGACTTGCGCTGTCTGTCTTTGCGAATATGACGAGACTACAAATTGTAATTGTATCTCCGAAATGGAATTGCAGAGAGTTTGGTATGCAAAAAATGCACGTGTCAAATATTTGCTGAAGAACGCACTTCTTGCCATGGGTTTCCGGAAAGTTTTGCCTCATTGTTGTTTAGCTGGACTGTCACTTCCCACATTTGGACTTGTTCTATGTTTTTATATCTGTGACCTCATTTGTAAATGCGCCTCGCGAATGCTGTTTTCTGGGACACGGAAAAGAGAGATGCTGGGCGATAGACTGAATCCAGTCGTAAGCAAGAAGATGTCTTGGATTATGGAGCCAGAGAGTCGCTCATTTTCGATGTCATCATGGCAATTCTGCTCCTATATACTACATAATATACGGCTTAACAGTTTGGGATAAATTTATTGTGTACCACATGTGACTGAAATGAAATTTCGAGGAATCATATTTGCAAAGTCTTCAAACGAGTGATTCAGAAAGTAAACCCAGCATATTATTTTCTTATCGCCTCATTTTTCTCTATGACTTTCAATTGAAAGAAGATGAAGTTTCCCAGAGCGAAGCGATATGATAAATAAGAAGAGTTCATTGAAGTCAACAGTAACAAATCAAATTCTTTATATTGAATCACTTCACGTCAATGACTCATAAAAACAAGTATAAATTCATTTGAAATCATCATTATTATTGAAATCCAATTATCCTCTTAAATGTGTTGTATTATTTCCCAGACTTCCTGCAGTGATATTAAATTCAAGAAATTCTGAGAATTATGATCAAGAGGCAAACAAAGAAGTTTTAGATCATATTTCACATTCTCAAGTAAAATTCAGAAGCTGAGCAGCAAATATTGATGAATGGATCTTCGTAATGTGCAGAAGTGTTCATATATTGCTGTAATTTTGTTGTTGTTTATTTATCTTCTTTTAGAAGCCATTCAGTGGAGTCGTTGTAAAAATATATTCGCCAGTCTCTAAAATATTTATAAACGCCTCCGATTTTGTGTCTAGCACGGAGTTTTACATTTGCAAAATTCATTGAACTCTCGCGTGATGAAAGATTTCCAAATGAAATAACAGTCTTTTTGCGACAAATCCACTTCTGCTGTGATATGTTCATTTGTTCACCTCTCAGATGTGTTCACACGACGAATCTTCAATTCTCATTGAAGTGAATTTCTCCCTTCTCTGGCATCGTGAAAGGTATCGGAACAAGATTTCTTCCCGTACAATAAACATGTGGGCAGACAGGTCGGTGTGGTTCTATCTCTCAGTTAACACGACAGAATAGATGTACATAAGTGCATTAGAAATGTGTGTAATCTTCAGCGGAGCGACTTTAAAATGACTTCCTTCTATCGTTTCTTAATACTTTCAGGCTTCTCGTTGGCGCTCCACTCGGACAGAATTTGCAACCCAAGACAAACCACTCAGGAGCTCTGTTCAAATGTCCTATCACGCAGCACAACAATGACTGTTCGCAGATCATAACAGATGGCCGCAGATGTGAGTATTAAGAAGTGGCGATGAGACCTTTAACTGCAATGGAACGGATAAATATTTCGAGGTTTTCCCATTGAAAAAAAGAAATCGAAAATTATGTACAAACTATGGAAAATTAAAGAGTTTACTTTTGTACAAATTGTAAAAATTTGTAGATTTCGTAGTGTGATAATTTAAAAAATTCTACATCTCGAATTAACAAATATTTATTTTCTCAGCAATAATTGATAAAATTTCTACTGCTTCCAAAAGTAATACATATACAATTTTACACTACTTATCATGGTTTTTTTTTGGTTTCAAAATAAATTTATTACAAAACCATGAAATATATATTTGTTAATTCAACTTATAAATGATTGTATTTATTTTTTTTTTAAGATTTTATATATTTTATAGATTCATAGATATTTGGTGGATTGAGTATGTGGAGGTTAAAGTAATTTTGAAAGAAAGAGAAATTATGATACACTTTGTTAGAGATTTACAATACAGTTGATCACTTTTTTATAGTTCTACGATATCTTTTTACCCATACAATGACTTCATGAAGAAACTTTAATTACTACTTTCTGTGAAAACTCCCGAATGTTAAAATTTTATTAGTATTTAATTTAACATTCGAGGGTGAAAATTGAAATAATAGAGCAATAATTTAAGTGTATGTTTTATGTTATTATTCTTCTATATTCTTGGGTGCCTTCAATTTTAGTACCTGGCGGAGCTTATGATCCTTGTAAGTGGTATGGGTGCTTATAATATTATCTTTACTCTAACTTAGCATTATCGCTGCTACTTGACATACTTACAAGAAGTTTTCTTTAATGCATATGCAAAATTATCAAGATTTATCATATTGAATTAAATTTTATTTCTGTTTGCTCTATGAATGTAACTAATATATTTGGAAAATTCTATTTTTGCATGTTCTGCAATTTTTGTGCTAATTAACAAGACATTTCATGCCTTTCATGGACTAATATTTCTTTTTAAAATAATTGTGGCCTTTGGCGCATTGGAGTCAACATTACAAATTCAATAATTAAATAACAATTACACATAGCTAAGCCCGAGATATTCTTCACTAACATGATTTTAGGAAAGCGAATGACCAACAAAGCACTAAAAAAAAACTTAATCTCTTTCCTCTTATGAGATTAGTCATTTTTTGGTAATAAATCATTATTTTATGTGGGTAAAACATCGGAATTGAGAACACAGGAAAACGCATATTTGTCTGCAGTGTATAAAAAAGATGATCCATTTGGCAATGCCTTAATTTCGAGTTACTCACAATTTATTTTCGTTGAGTTAATGCATTAGAGAATGTGTGAATATATTTGAATGTTTTTCCTCGGGGTGTGCTTATATTCTTGGGTTTATGTGTAGCATAATTATGTGTTTTTATGCCACATAAACACGCAGACACATAAAGATGGTACATGACTGGGTCATAGAAGCCGATTCAAGTGCTCATTCATATTCTAGATAGACACCGAAAGATGATAAGTAAAAGTATTGAAGAAATGGCAATGTTTCTTTGAACCAGCAATCAATAAAAATAAGTGAAATCATTTCAGTTTCGCCAGTAAAGTTCCGCTGATGGCGTCATCGTGAAATCATTCAATTTTTTGGACATTTTTTCTAGTCGCAAATATTCTTTATCTTAAGCTGTGTTTATTTCGTAAATATTACTGGGAGGAGCATTTGAGTATTTACTGATGAATCTTCATTGCTCACTGAATGTCTCGAATTAAAATAGATAAATACTATTATACTGTGTGTGTGTTGGATTTAAGAGTTATACATATAAATATAGGCGTGAATGTCATGAGGAAATTGATGGCTGTGTGTATTGTCTCGTAGTAAATATTAGATTTAGGTCACCGATGTCAAATTGTCATGGCCTGTAGTAAGTTGTTTATATTTAAGTACCTAATTCATTTTAGGAACCTCACACCAGCATAAAATCATCTTCTGTACACTCAAGTAGTGATAAATGCACATCTTCTCTGAGTATGAGAAAAATGCAAGGTTAAATACACGAGCATTTTAGATTAAGGTCTTTAGAAACTTAACAATAGCACCTGCATTTGCTATTCACATGGCAATATTAACCGATTGACCCACCAAACCTTTTCACAGCACGCCTGTGAGATTAGTTTTGGATGAGAATTGATTATGCTGACGATGCTGACCATAGAAATCTTATATCATCATTATTCGACTGGAAATAGCGATGACACATGAAGATTTCTCGAGATTAATTCACCAAAGACGAGTTTTTCACGCACGAGATTGTTTTTAACTACTTCAAGAGCGTTTAAGTTGTTTTTTTTTATGTGCAGTGAATTATTGCATATTGCATTCCTTTGGCATGTTCAATGTTATACATTTTGCTCTTGCAATATGTTTTTGTTTTGTCACGTACATTTTGACAGTTTTTTTTTTGTCATTTTCCGTTCAATATATACTAACAAATAAAATGTGCAATGTTTTGAAATGCGACATGCTGCAAAAAATACGTTTCCATGCATAAGAAATCAAGCTTATTTTGTCAAGATCATAAAATTCGAGTTAATGGCTATTAACAATCTTTTTCGAATGCAAAGAAGAGGAAAAATTACTGAATATTTGATAAGGCTAATGGAATTTTCTTCCGTGTGTGTTTTTTTTTGCTTTTGCGACAGACTTGGATGATGAGGATAGCATTGAGAATCTTATGCCGCCCGTCTTGGCGGATGAGTTTAAGGACGATCAGTGGATGGGAGTCACGGTGAGGTCACAAGGAGCGAGTGGAAAAGTCCTGGTGTGTGCTCATCGCTATATTGCCATCATGGGCGAGTCTCGCTTTGGACAGGGACTTTGTTATGTGCTCAGCAACGATCTAAAATACGATGAGATTTATGAGCCATGCAAAGGACGCAGCACTGCGAGGTGAGAAACACGAATTTTATGCATCAGTGAACATTTGTGCTAAGGAACACTCTTACAGGGCTCATGAGGACTTTGGCTACTGCCAAGCGGGAACTTCGGGAGCCCTTCTGGATGATGACACGGTTGTTCTGGGCTCACCAGGCCCGCTGACGTGGCGCGGAATGATCTTTGTCATCTCCATCGGCGGCGAGTACTTGACGAGGGACAAGACGAACTACTATTCTCCGCACACGGACGCTTCGTCGCCGGTGGACAAGTACAGCTACTTGGGCATGGCAGTGACAGGTGGACGCTACTTTGGCTCTCACATGTCTTACGTGGCCGGAGCCCCGCGGTCCGCCGGCCACGGGCAAGTGATGATTTTCTCCAAAGGAGACCCACCCACGTCAAACCCCATCAATTTGACCGCCACGCTCGATGGCGAACAATTTGCCTCGAGTTTCGGATACGAACTCGCCACGGCAGACGTGAACGGTGATGGACTTCCTGATTTGCTCGTGTCCGCGCCCTTTTACTTCTCTCGTGACGAGGGTGGCGCAGTTTATGTCTATCAAAATGAGAACCATCGACTTCCTGCGATGCCCAAGCTGAAACTCACCGGAAAGCTGGAGTCACGCTTCGGATTGGCGCTGGCCAATTTGGGTGACATCAACAAGGATGGCTATGAAGATGTCGCCATCGGGGCTCCGTACGAAAATGACGGAGTGGTGTATATTTATCTGGGATCCGAGAGTGGACTCAATAGAAAACCCAGTCAAGTGAGCATTTCCTCAGATCAATTTCTATATTTCTTGAATCATCGTGTGTTTATTTAGGGGCAATTGGTACTTTTCATTCCATTTCTTGTTATCTTATTATGATTTTCAAGAGGGAGGGTTAAATGTCTGAAGAACAACATCTTGAAACAGAAATAGCTCACATTTTTCCATTTCCCCTTTCTCTTTTGTGTGTCAGACAAAAAGTGCATTTTTCAGATTAATCTTTGCATTTTGAGATCCATTTCGAGTGTAGTAAAAAAAAAGTCTTATAAAAGCTTAAATGTCTGCTAATTTAACTCAATTTCTTTATATCTTCTAACGTCTGTTATTGCATACTATTCCAGGTCATCACTGCTGCTGATGTGAAACCGTCTCTGAAGACTTTTGGCAGTTCTCTCTCCGGCGGAATTGATGTGGACAACAATTCCTATCCCGATCTCCTGATTGGAGCGTACAGCTCATCAGCAGCCATTGTGCTCCTGGCCAGATCAATAACGAACATCACGACGAAGGTTGAAGGCGCATATCTGACAAACATCGATCCAGCCAAATCAGGATGTCCAAATGATCCTGGCACCAATTTGACGTGCTTCTCCTTCAAGGCGTGCTGTGCCATTGAGCAGATGGAGACTTCGTCGCCCTTTGAATTCCTCAATCTTGAGTATGTGATTGAAGCGGAAACATTCGATAATCAGAAGAAATTCAGCCGAGTGTTCTTTGGGCCGGACTTCAAGCAGCGCAAGAATGTGGTGCGTCGACAGATCCAAGTGAAGAGCAATGGGCAGATGAATTGCATTGAGCACGTGGTGTACATCAAGGAGGGCACAAGAGACATTCAAACTCCCATAAAGTTCCGACTGAACTACACATTCGTCGAACCGAAGCTGAAGGAATCCGGTCTCATTGCCTTGAATCCGATTCTCAATCAGGCTCAGGCCAATCGCAAATTCGAGGCAACTTTCCAGAAGGACTGCGGCAGTGATGACATTTGCGAGTCTCAGCTGGAGATTGCCGCCGAACTGGAGCTGCAGCAGGAGGGAAATATGTACACGCTTGTTCTGGGCGAGCGTGATGAGCTGCAGATGAATGTGACGGTGACGAATCAGGAGGATTCGGCTTATGAGGCACAATTGTTCATTCAACATCAACCGAGTGTGTCCTATATTGCCGCCATTCGGTCGGGAACTGTGATATGCAACCGATTTAATGAGACTATTGTGGCGTGCACACTTGGGAATCCCCTGAGACGCGATGGTGTGGCCAGAGTGACTGTTCGCTTTGATCCCAGTGGCTTGGAGGACTCCGTGCCGAGACTGAGTTTCCGCATTTGGGCCAATTCGACGTCCAAACAGATCACTGAACTCGCGCCCACAATGCTGGACGTGAAGGTGGTGAAGAAGGCACAGCTGAGCATTAAGGGCTGGGCCAGACCCGAGCAATCGTTCTACGGTGGGGAAATCAAGGGCGAGAGCGCCATGGAGTACTTTGACGATGTGGGAACGGTGGTTCATCACACTTATCAAATCTACAACGATGGCCCATGGAAGGCGCCTTACATTGACGTCCGCATCATGTGGCCTCATCAGGTGGCCAACGACAAGGAGCAGGGCAAGTGGCTGCTGTATCTCGAGGAGGAGCCCACAATTGAAGGTTCGTCAGCGATTATTACGATTATATTTGCTTTCTAAACGCTCTTCTTGCAGGTGCAAACGGAGCCGGTGAGTGCTTCAGGAGCGGCGATAAGATAATCAATCCTCTGGGCTTCAAGCGACGCGCTCTGAATCTTCAGCGAGGATTCATGGAGGATGAACTGCCTCCAGAGCCCTACATTCGACGCACGCACAATAAGACCGCTTTCTACTCCGCCGCGAGCTATGAGAAATCCTCCGTGGGCTCGTCCAAGTTCGAGAGCGCCCCAGTGAATCGCGTGAGGCGGGATCACGCTGTGGTGATCCGGGCAGACAGTCTGGTGGACACTGATGGGAAGAAATCCGATGTGGTGCACATGGATTGTGCGCGGAAGACTGCAAAGTGTGTCGAGATTCACTGTGCCATTTACAATATGCAGCGCAAAACTGAGGTCTACATCCACGTGAAGGCGCGCCTGTGGAACTCCACGCTCGTGGCGGACTATCCGGTTGTGGATCGCGTGCACATTGTGTCCCGGGCGAGCATCAGCATTCCTGATCTCTACGGAATTGACCAGTCGCGGGGGAATTACACGACCGCAGTGGAGACGCTCGCGTATCCGGAACTGAAGCTCGCCGTGGAGACTCCAGTGCCTCTTTGGGTGTACATCATCTCGATTGTATCCGGCATCTTGGTGCTAATAATACTCATTCTGATCATGTGGAAGTGCGGCTTCTTCAAGCGACGACGACCCGATCCCACTCTCAGTGGGAATCTGGAGAAGAGCGAAACGAAGCCCTTCATATCGAAATGAGTTATGAGTAGCCTTAGTGAAATTGTGATTTAGCCTATTTCTTCCCGGAAATTTTCTAGGTTCTCCGTTCGATTCTTGAATGAGAAAAATTTGATTTTATATAGACTTATCCGTTTTGTAAGTGCAGATTTTATTGCAGAGAAAGAGAGAGAGAGAAAGTTTAGAAGAAGCGTTATAATACATTTTATGTAATGTAATTTATTAGCTGTTCTGCCCTAATAATGTCGTCGTATTGTATTGGATTATAATAACGAAATGTTCTAAATGTACTTATGGGAAGTATTCTTCCCACGTCACATTTTATCTTAATATTTTGAATAGATTGTATTCGTTTTATACACACAAATACCATGTTATGATATAGAATACTTAATTCAGACCAAGTGTCCGGGGTCAACTTATCAAATTACACAGTAATACTTCTAAATATTGAACTTTTACATACATAGAGAGTTAAGTGAGCATGATTGTGGCTTATTTTCTCATGTAATTCTTGGGTAATTTGGTATTCCAAATTCGAATTTTATTGCCTAATAAAAAATTTATACTAAAGTGCATTTATAAGTGATAAGATATCGCGCATACCTTCATATTTAGATGGTTAAAAATAGTTTAATGATGCGTCTTTGTTGAGAAAAAAAAACTTCCAAAAATGTAACAGTATTTGTTGTAGTTTTTCAATCTGTTTAATCTGTGTCAATCTGAATTATTGCATTGGCTAAAATGATTAGGAAAATAAATGATGTAACTTGTGTTTAGGATTTTCAGATTATACAAATAAAAGGTAGCTTTTGAAAGTATTCTGTTCTTTGACTTCCGTTTTCCGACTTTGACACCAGGCAAATTGAAGAGATAAAACAATTTACGTCAAAATTAGAATCAATCTATTTTATTAAACAATCGCATGCATATTTTTACAATTTCCTCTACCAACGTTCATCATTTTTGCACAATTTTAGGTTGAACAGGTTTCTCGGACAGGCCCGGAGCAAATGAATAGTCATCGAAAATATTTTTATCGATCTCGTTGCACATTGTCAACCTCAAGTCTTTCCTACTCGATGGACGAAAACGCTTTGTTAAACACAGTTTGGCAATCGCTTCAGGAATAAACAATTCCGCCGGTGGATCCATGAAGTTCTTAAAAGTCATCTTCTGGGCCTTCTTTTTACGGCGTAATCTCTTCAAGATAGCTGCAGTTGTGGCCAGAGTGACCTCGATCTTCTTGGGCAGCTTCTTAGCCTCCCAATGAGGCGATTTGGCACAGTAATTAGAGACAGCGTCCATATCGAGGATCGGCGAGTGAGTGACTGAATTGTATTTCCGAAACACGTTTTCACAGAGTCATCTCTTTAAACATTGGAACGCCTTCATGATTTCCGTTGCCGTTAATCTATTATTTAGTTCTCCTATACAAATAATAAATAAATGAGATAAATGTCCCTGAAATTCACCTTCCTGAATTTCAGAAATTATCAATTCAACGTGTAGAATTCAAAGATTTGCCCCTGAAATGTAGTCAACTTGCGGCACGTGGAAAACTAGCGACATTTCCGATTGCTCTACAGACATATCGGCTTGTTATACAGAACATCGTTATCCGGTGCGCACGTTGTTTACATTGTCATTTTGGAAATTATTGTTGTGAATTTGTCAATTTCCTCGAGTTCGGAAAACGCCACGAAATGCCTCTCATCGCGGAACTGGCCGGGGACGAGAACATGGACAATTGCCGGACGTTTGTGTTCCAGAACGAGGGTCACACGCTGGGCAATGCCCTGCGATCCATCATCGTGCGCTACCCTGATGTGGTGTTCGTCGGCTACACCATCCCTCACCCGGCAGAGTCCACCATGAACTTCCGGATACAGACCACAAGATCCGTCCGCGCAATAGACGTCCTCCGGCGCGGACTGCAGGACCTGGAGAGGGTATGTGATACAACTCTGGACAAATTCGACGAGGCCATGCGGAGTAGACGGTAATAAAGACAATTTGTATTCATGCTACAGCTGTTTAATAGAAAATATGGAAAAGCATTGCGCCGAGTGTTCAGAGTGTCTTGCTTATGTCTCCTCCGTGACCATGGGCTCCGCCGCTGCCAAGCCTTCCGCGGCCTTTGACTCCTTCGGGATCCGCAGGATGCGCGGCCCATAGATGAGAACGTAGGCGCAGTGCCAGTCTCCGCCGCCGGACAGGCGCAGCACGTCCTCCGTGGTGATCGGCGTGACAACATCATCGTCAAACTTCATCCACGTGTCCCGGCTCTGTCTCACCCACGCCACATAGTGACCAGACGAGCTGGAGCGCCCCTGGTGCGTCAGCACCGCCTTGAGCGTGTAGTATCCGCTGTTATTGCTGCCCACGTCTTCCTCGAAGCTGAACGGCACCTCCGTGGTGTTCGCATCCTCCTCCTCCGCCACCGCCGCTGGCTTGTCCTTCTTCAGCTGTCCCTCCAGGGCGGCATCCTCGACCTCCTTGAAGCGACTTCTCATGGGATTCAGCTTCTCCTTCAGCGCCGCTGAGCACAAGTCGAAGGCATCGAAGTCAATGGGGAACTTGATGTCCTTCAGCACCTTCGCATTGATGCCCTGATTGCCCTTGTACTGGAATCGCATGAAGTTCACAGTGAGATAGGCCGGCAGGCGATTGATCAGCGCCGTCTTCTGGTACAGCGCATCGCGCCCCAGACTCGGGGACTTCTTCGTCAGCTGCTCTTGCATCCGCAGACGCAATCCGCTGTGCATGTACTTCACCTCCGTTGAGATGAAGCACGTGAGCTGTAGGAAATTCTCATTGGACACATTCGATGGCTCCTCCGGCGCCTCGTCGCACTTCATCTCAATCTCGAAACTTCCGCCCATGTACTGCTCGACGAATGACTGGAATTTGCAGGCCTTCTCGCTGTCAGCCTTCAGTGGCGGCAGCTTCTGCTGCAGCATCTTCAGCAACTCAATCCAGCACTCGTTGGCGTCCTGCTGCCGGTAAACGCCATTCTCTCCCGTCTGCGCGAACTGCGGAAAGGCCAGATGAAGGGTTTGCAGGAGAATGATTGGCGTCACGGTGTTGTTCGTGTCCATTTGATTGAAGACGCTCCTCATGGCGCAAGTGATGGACTTGGCGGAGTCCAGTCCGGACGCCATTTCCTCCTTGAACGCCTTCAGAGCCTCAGTGAGTTCCGGGACGCCCTTGAGGCACTGCACAGTGGCGTTCACATAGCACGTGTTCCCCAAATTGGTCAGTCCGGCGGGGAGTTTCATCGCCACCGCCAATTCCGACTCGTTCATGTCCTCGATGAACTTTGTCTTCTCCACAGGCTCCGACGGCACCTCCTCCTTGGAGCCCATCATCAGCACAGTCATTCCATTCGTCAGCTTCACACTCCACTCGTCCTTCAGCGTGGCGCCCTTGCACATCACCTTCTGCCTGTCCGGAGCGACGCCCGTCAGGGCGAACAGTTGCGCCTTAAACACCAGAGGCTCCTCATCCGTGTCCACCAGCACGTCCGGATACAGTTCCTTGCCCCATTTCACCTTCACTGAAAAACAAAGAGGCGACATTGCATGTATTTTCGCAACTGCTGAATCATCCACACAAAGGCAGTGAGGAAAAGCTAAACAACTTTTCTTCACAAAAACACTCCGTCATTTTCCCCACACATAACCTCAAACGCAGGTGTGTGAAAATCTCTCACTTACCTGTAAATTTTGGCATTTTCTACTCAATAAATACACGCACCACAATTCAGGAACAGCGAATATTCACGATTATTACTTAAGAAATGGTTTATTTCGCGTAAATCGGCGATTCTGCTGCGGCTTGCGCTTCTGCAACCTTCACACTGGGAAGCAGACTGAAGTTTTTACGCACTTGGCAACGTCAAACTTTTTTACTAGCGCAAACGAGAGCAACTGTAAAAAACGAGGGGCTGCAAATTGGAAAATAAGACTCTTTTCTTCCTCTCTCTCATTTTTTAATATTCTCCCAGTGCTTCTTGGAATACTGTTGTGATGTTGATGATGCATTTACCTCGAATCCTTGTGTTTTTGGTTCTGTCCAAGTCTTGTCCCCAAACAATATTGTTTCTCTCAGAAGGGCTGGAATCCCTTGCCCAAACTCGACGATTTTGAAACACGTCGCTTATGAAATCAGATGTCATTTCGTAAGTCCATCTAAATCTGCAAAGTCAAGTGTGAACAATAAGAGGAATATAATCACCAGAAAAATCTGCAAGTTTACTAACTAATCAGGTGAATATCCCCGATTATATTCTTGGATATTTTGCATTCTGGCCACATTGTTTTGATTCCCACTTGTTTCTAAACTTTTTGTCTTTTTGACGTTCGCTTACGCACGCCATCTGTGTAAAGTGCTGGAAAAACTGCACGAATATTCTAACGATTTATTTGAAAATGCTAATTTAATTAATCACCAATTTTATATGCTTTTATGTGACGAGTATTTAGGTAAAGTGCACTTGCAAGCATTCAGCGCATGCCTTTAGTTTGTGGTTCTCTTAGAAAACTTTAAGAAAATTTTATGTGAATTCTCGATATATCGTGAACAACATTCCGCGATATTTCGAACGTCAACATCGAATTATCGAATTGCAGCCCTGCAAGCAACACAAAGATGGCGATCCTTCGATGTCCGAAGTTATTGTATTGCGTCAACAAGTGATATTTCTCCCTTTTGCAGTTGCTCTATCGCATTAATTGTGCATTTTGTGGCATTTCTGTTCAGTCAAGTGTCCGTGTCTCGTGAAAATACAGTGCAGTGTGCATGAATGTCGAAGAAAGTGAAGGAAAATACCAATGTTGGTGTACACAAAGTAAGTCAATGGAGCCTCGCGAGCTTATAGTGAAACTCTCGCATATTTGCATATTTAGGAGGTCCAATTGTTACAATTATCGCTATGCATTGGCGCTCTTTCCGCCACACCGTGCAGCTCTCGAGTGCACCCACTGCCCAGTGTGTGTGGTGGAAGTGAAAAAGAAAGGTGTGCGGAATCCCCAGAGACTGAGTCATTCCGTGGAAAAATCTTCGACAGAGCGCATCAATCCGGACTCGGTGTATCATTCGCGTTATTAGGAAAAAATATCTCTCTGGTCATTCATGCTGAAGTACCTTTTGCGTGGACAAAAGTGTGTGCGTCTGTTTGCCTCCCCCTCCTCTGGCTTTTGTGCTTATTACAGTTTTAATTGCGATATTAGTGTTGCTACATGAGTATATAAGGGACAACAATACGTGTGGTGCGCGCCTGTGGCTGAGATAAATACACCTTTTTTCGCATATACACTGGAAAAATGCCACACGAGAAGTGCTCCGGAAACCTCGCTGTCTTCCATCTCAAACAATGCAAGTGAGGAAAAGAGTGCTGGGAAAAATGCCTACAAATAAGGGGGCAATTCAATGCAAATGATGATTCACAGCTGTGTGTATTAGAAAATAGCTACCAGTGCGAAAAAGGGTAAATGAAAATGCTCGTGTTGATAAATCGACGAGGAAGATCATCACACACAACACACAAAAGCGTCGTCAGACAAGATTGCTCTCTTTGATGAACTTAGCCAAGCCACGGATAAACGCACGCCGGCTTTTGAGTGGAGAGATTCTTCAATTTCGCACCAAATTGAGATTTCAAATCCGATAAGAACGCTCAAGTTTTGCTTTCAGAACTTATCATTTGTCTACGTCAAGTACAGCGATGGAATAAATTAAAGCCATACAAATGTCTTTTGCAGTTTAATTTTCTGAGCAAAAGACGTCAAGGAATTTAATTTGATGTTACGCTTCAATAGTCAGACAAGTAATTCTTTACTTGTTTACAATAGCTGTGATTTTGGGCATCACGAGAAGAGTCACTTAACATTAGAGATAAAGTTTACTACTATGCACCCACTGTTGCACATTAGCTGAGGCTATAATTGAATTTTCCCTTGACTTTATGGTGCTACAATTGAAATTTTTCACACTCACGGAGAGAATATCAAAATACTCTCTCCGTGACTGGAGGAGACGCTAAAATTAAGTTACATTAGCGCTATTTGCAAGTAAACGGGCTAAATTGATAGGTCGAACTATTGGCGTGTCTGTTTAGCTGTTGCGTGGATCGAAAAGAAGAGGAGAAATGTCTGGCATACAATGGAAATGTGTATGGAATTTTGCCCTATTTTATGTGGAATTGTTAGCTTTTCCGCCACAAAACTCCACTAATTTTGGGTTTCAGCAGCGGATGATGAAATGAAAGAGGTTCGTCATTGCGAGACTCTCGGCTCACAATGCATCTTTGTTCCGCAGCGATGAAACCCCTAAAATTCATCGGAGATGTGCGAGAAGGACATAAAAAAAGAGATCTTCAAACCACAGAATTCAAGATTGCGACAGGAAATTCCTTTTTTGGCGTTGGTGAAGTGAAAGAGAACACGACACATTGATTAGAGAGACATTTTTCGTGAATTCTGTCGAGGAAAGTAACTTGAGTGTGATAAGATATCGATGGGTAATGAAGAAATGTGATTTTTGCTTTGGTCACACTTCTAAAAAAAATGAATGATTACACAGAGACTTGAATGTGTGCAAGAGCATAAATGGATTTCCTCAATGGTGTCACATTTAGTTTGCAATGTGGAACCTCCTCAAATGAATGGAGTAACGCACAAAAAAGAAGAGTGTGGCGTGGAAGAGAGGCGATATCTGAAAAAGATATCAAAGTGAATAAACTATGCAGTTGGTTTCATACGATAAATAATGTAATTTACATTTTTTCAGTTGCTTTTCAATCGCAAAAAAAGAAGAGTAGACGAGAGGATGGAGAGATGTTTTATCTTAATTGTTTGGCGTTGCTTTAATCGCAAAATGAAAATATAATTTGGAATTGTAACACCATGTTTTCTTTTTTTCTTACTGTATTTTCAGAATATTGGCTATGGAATGGGTGATTGCCAAATAGAAAGTGGTGAAAATTCGCCACAATTAAATATGAATGCAATCATGACTTCTAATGCATCCAACCAAAGAATTGGTACAGCTCGAGAGCGAACAATACAAGCTGTTGAGTATTACAACAACAATGTGCTGAGGGCACGCGTCGGTGCCGGACTGGCCGGAGCACGGGCGTCTGTGAGTGAGCGGCATCTCATGCAGAATCGCACCAAGGCGGGAAATCTGTATGGGCACCACACGGAAAATCTCTACAGAAGCAACTCGAGCCTGGAACTGCTGCACGATCATGTGAACTTCAAGAGTGACTTCGACGCCAATCCGCCGTCGGGCGGGCTGAGGCGTGAATACGGCAGTCACGGCAGCATTCACGTGATCTCGTCAGATCGTCGCACGCCGACGACGGGCGAGAGCTTCTTCGCCATGCTGCAGGACTACAGGCCGGCGGTGTTGAACGTGATTGGCGTGGATCAGCGCTCTCCGGGCCCCGATGAATATCTCAAGGGGAAGATTGCGGAGAGCCAGCAGGTGGCGAAGCCCAGTGGATACACTCAGAGCTACACCAATCACCAGACCGCCGCCGGTGAGGGTGCAAACATTGGCAATTCCAGTCCCAAACTCCTCACGAAGCTGCACAAGATTTGGGGCCCGACAAAGCAGGGACGCACGCAGAATCACGAGGAGATTGCGAGCAATATTGTGGCACACAACTCCCTGGGATACGATGTGAACGTGTCATCTGCGGTGGACATTGAGGAGCGCCAGAGAAGACAGTCTTTCGCTCACTACGATTGCCAATCTCTCACGGCAAATCTCATCTATGCGGCCAAATTGAGGAGTGTTTTGCTCGCTCGGCGACGGAATACAACGACTGGAGCCTCTGCAGCTTCCATGCACAATTCGCGCTCCTCCACGCCGGACGGCGCGAAGAGTGCGGAAGAGGACTTTGGTGATGGACAGAGCAATGAATTGCTGGAAAATTGTCCGTACTTCCGAAACGAGATTGGCGGCGAACGGGAGCGCAACGTCAGTATTACGCGGATTCATGCGGCCAATGGTCCGGGGCAGAGCAAGAAATCCATACATATCCCAGTGCTGGCCTGCGGACTGTCAATCTTGGAGTGTGGCAATGGAGAAACTCTGTGGAAGCCAACAACGTGCCCATTTCAGGGTGGCGTCAGACCCATTGAATATGTGGATTGCGGAGCCAAGTACTATCGTCAATACTTCCTGGAAAAAGGTATTTATCAGCTTCATTGATTAAAAGAATTTTTTTGTTGACGTTTTCACAACTAATCAATTTTTGAATGATGACTAATTAGAGTTGTTTCTTACAGAGCATCAAAATTGGTTTGGTGTCGATGAGGAATTGGGCCCAATTGCGATCTCGCTGAAGCGAGAGAAGATTCCAAACTCATCAAATTCTGTCGATAGTGAGATGTCACCGCTATACCAATTCCGTGTGGTTGTGCGTACGTCAGAACTGTTGACTCTTCGCGGATCGATTCTCGAGGATGCCATTCCGAATCCGCGTGGCCAGGGAAAGTCCCTGAGCACGAAAGATGTGCTGGAATATGTGGCTCCGGAGGTGCAAATCTCGTGCTTGCGCCTCAGCGTCGCCACGAGTCAGTGCGAACATCAACTGGTGAAGCTGGATGAACAGTGTTTGACGGCCAAATACAAGGTGGGCGTGCTGTACTGCAAATCTGGACAGAACTCTGAGGAAGACATGTACAATAATATGGAATCGAGTGCGGCATTTGATGAATTCCTGGAGACAATTGGCAAGAAGGTGCGCTTGAAGGGCTTCGATCACTACAAGGCAGGATTGGACAACAAAACCGATTCCACCGGCACACATTCACTGTATTCTGTCTACCAGAATTGCGAGGTGATGTTTCACGTGTCCACAATGTTGCCGTACACGCCCAATAATCGCCAACAATTGCTCAGGAAGCGTCACATTGGTAATGACATTGTGACGATAGTGTTCCAAGAGCACGGCGCATTGCCGTTCACGCCAAAACACATCCGCAGTCAGTTTCAGCATGTCTTCATCATTGTTCAGGCCGTGAATCCATGCACGGACAACACGCACTATCGCGTTGCCGTGTCGCGATCGAAGCAAGTGCCGGTGTTTGGTCCGCCACTTCGTCCGGGAGCGCTCTATCCCAAGGGAAAGACGTTCGTCGACTTTCTGCTGGCGAAGGTGATTAATGCAGAGAATGCGGCTCATCGCTCTGAGAAGTTCGTGACAATGGCCACGCGGACGAGGCAGGAGTATCTGAAGGATATCATATCGAATTACTCGACGACCACACTTGTGGACACCGGACCCAAGTTTTCCATCTTCCCCAGTAAGAAGAAGGAGAAGCCAAAGCCTCGCTTTCGCGGAGATTTGAGCCAACGCGGAGCATTCTGCTGGCACGTTGTTCTGCATGACAGTGAAACGGCCACAACTATGAACTGCTTCCTGGGCATCTCGGCGGAGACATTTGTCCTGATCGACGAGGTGACGCGGCAAGTGGTTTTTGTCACGCCCACACGATCGATACTGGGTTGGTCGACGAATGGGAACCTCTTGCGAATCTACCATCATCAGGGTGAATGCATAACGCTCAATATGTATGACTATGGTGAGCGCGATGAGCAGCTGGAGGTGATTGAGCGACTGCGATCTGTGACTCCGGGTTGTGGAGCGCTTGAGCTGAATCTCTATCGCAATCCACTCGGTCAGTTGGGATTTCACGTGCAGCCGGACGGCGTGGTGACTCAGGTGGAGATGTCGGGTCAGGCTTGGGCGGCTGGATTGAGACAAGGCTATCGCTTGGTGGAGATTTGCAAGATCGCTGTGGCAACGCTGTCGCATGAACAAATGGTGGATCTGCTGAAGACATCGGCTCAGGTGACTGTGACAGTGATTGAGTCGTTTTCTGATCGAAGTCCTCGTCGCGGTTGCTTCTATCAGAACTGCAAGTTCAATATCATGAACTATGATGAGGATTACGAGAAGAATCTCCCCAGCATCGCCTCCAGTCAGCATCATCCAGTGTCTCCGGTCACTTGTCTGAGGCAATGCGAGAGGAATTTCTCGCCGCCTCGATCGAGTAACAGTTCAGGATATGGTACTGGCAGCAGCTATAGATCCTTCACGGTTCCCATTGAGAATTCAAGGAGTGCTCCTGACATGGGCACACTCACGAGCTCCTCGAGTGGGCACTCGTCGAACGATGGGAATTGGTATGATATTCTCCACACGGATGAAGACAATTCGGTGATCAAGAGGAGGAATTCGAAGCATGCCATTCAGCAGTATCACAGACAGCCGAAAGATGTGGTGAATGCCAGGGCGCAGGCCATGGCGTCGGTGAAAGTGCACCAGGACAAGGAGGGATCGGCAACTAAGAGACCAGTGACCTTTGACGGAAGCCAGTTCTCTCGGGTGGACTATGCAACGGTGCAGAAAGAGCATTCCGATGTGGAGCACTCAAGTACAAATAGTCTGGAGAAGGAGACAAAAGTCTCCGTAGACACCAATGGAATCTCTTCTGCGGCCAAAATGCACTCGAATGCATCGAAAATCCTGGCGGAAGGTCGTCCTGTGTCTGAGCCAAAACTGCGATCGGGCAGTCGACCGGGAAGTCAATATCGAAACAGTGTTCACTATACCGGCAGCTCTCTCCAGGAGGATCTGATGAAGCTCATTGATCCTGATTATGCTCAATCTGTGAGTGATGTGAACAAGGAGTTGATGAATCTGGAGAAGGAAATCCAGAATAGTGCAAGCCTGCGAAATATGCGAGATTCGCCAAATATCATGACAAATCTGATGGAGAATCTTGATCTGATGAGAACAAAGTCACGATCGAGGGAGGGAATCAATTTCGGCAGCACTTACAGTGCGCTGAATGCACTGCAATTGCCGGGAAAGCAGGACGATGAGAAATCTGATGAAAATATGGAAGTGATATTCACTGTGGCGAGACCGGCGACGGTTCTCTCATCGAATAGCGAGGGAACCAGTCCAGCGATGGACATGAGGCGAACGCAGAAGGCAGCTGAGCAGATGCGGAATGGGGAGAATGGCGAAGAGTCTGATCATCAGAAGGACGGCGTGAAGGAGTCTGATCTGAGGCATCTTCCTCTGCTGTCCAACACCAACGAAATGAACTGGTCGAGTCTCGTGGACACAGCCACGAAGGCTATTATGCAGAGCAAAGTGAGTGTGTTTTTTGGAGATCTGCGATGAATTTCTCTCTACCTTTCCTTTCCCTTCTTCACAGGCATTTGGCAAGGAAACTCCGCCACTCAAGTGTAACGAATACATCGATGGCAGTGAGTTGAAATTGGAGCGACGCGAGCGTGAGACGCGCTCGATGGTGAACACGCCGGAGAAGAAGGATGACTACCGGCAGGGATTTGAGGTGTCGGGCTCGGTGTCTCTGCCTGAGCTGCAGAGCCAAGTGTCGCAACTGGAGGATCTGATAATTCAGGAGACGAGGCGCCGGAAGTCTCTGGAGTGCGCAGTGAGGCGTCTCACGGAGGAGAACAAGAGGCTGCAGGACGAGAGTCAGGCGGCGGTGCAGCAGCTAAGGCGATTCACTGAGTGGTTCTTTCAAACAATAGTGCCTTCGACGAATCGTGATGAGGGTGGTTAAGCTTAGGCGTAGGCATTTTACACAACAGGACACTTGTACTCTTTATCTAAGCATTTTCTTATTTTACGAGAAAAGGACGAAAGAGGGAAAAGGTGACGTAATTTTAGGGATTATTATTATATATATACATTTTTAAGTGTATTTCTTGACATTTTCGACAACTTAACATTGAACAAAGAGAGAAACGAAATGCTTTTTAATATCACTATTTATATGCTTAAAATGTAATTTATTATATTGATATACTTTTATGAAAGGATATTCTCTCTCTTTTTTTAAATTTGTAAAATGTGCCTTGTGACGAAATTGTATGTATTTTATTTGTTAATTCTGTATCATTCTATCGGAAAAAAAATCACTTCACTCATATTTAAATGACATTTTGACATGAAAAACACAATCTCAGTATATATATAACATATTTTACAGAGCCTAAATGAAATTCAGAATAGCGAGCAAATAAGTAATACACAATGAATGCATAAAATCTATGATAATAAGAATATTCATCAGTTCTCTTTATACATATTACTGCGTAGGCAAAGTACGAGTATTACGATTATTTGTATAGGCAACTATTTTTAGTGAGTTGTACGTGATCTCTGAGTTAGTTTTTAAAGTTTACATTTAGTTTTCGAGATTGTGTACAGCTTTATCTGTATAGTTATAAATCTCTTAGCATTGTGCCTAATGGTTAATAAAATACTACATTTATAAATAACATCCCTTGTTTCGCCTTGTCACAGTTGAGCTTCTCCAGTCTGGAGAATTGTGGTGATGAACAGTGGAATATAGGAAAATCCAATAATACCTCTAGATTGAGTGAGTGTAGTGAAGAAATAATGTGAATGGCGTGCTGAGTATTTCAAAGTGGTGTGCTTGCGAAGACTTGCGCATTAAAAGTTGGTAAGAAAGACAATTTTTGCTGAATAGGGAATAAATTAGGGAGAGAAGAAAAAATATATGGGTTTCGCACCATTGCATCGAGCAAGTTCTTTCGCAAAGGAAGATACTTGGGAAAGAGTTTAGGGAAGCAATTGTGCTTTTCTCTCTTTTGCAAACTCAATGGTGAATTGAAAACGTGAGGCAAAGCCGAGGGTTGGCGTAATGCGCACAGCAAATGTTTTATTCATAAGCTCGAGAGAGCATCGCAATGGCTTGACTCTGTGTCGGAAACATCGGTGTGGCCGATGAGATGCAATATCGCGCTCTGCGTGGTGAATGAGGAGCACGAAAGCGCAAGATTGCGGAGTTGTGGGGTGGGAAAGCTCGCCCTGTTTGGCTGTGCTGTTGTACACTTTCCAAAATGGTCTCTAGCTTCAGGCGAAAGTGGTGTGTGTGCTTTTGAGAGGCAGGAATCACGAGCATCTGGCGGCTTTGGCTCTCTGGCTGGTGTCACAATCATTGGCTCATCACTTTATTGCGAGTTGAATCCCGGCGTAGTCGCAATAATCCACTGCTCGTCGCAGTTCTGCCTTTTTTCTCTGCGCTCTCTTTCTCTCTCTCTCACCATTCCGCGAACAGGAAAGGCTCGCGGCGGGCATTTTACTTCATCGCGGGTTGTGTGGTGATTTGTGTAATTAGAGTCTGCAGTGTGTGAGTGAATTTCCCAATTTGCAATTAGCAAAATACCCTCTTTTCCACACCGCCCTCCGCACAGACTCTGAGACGAAGAAGAAAGTGCCTGTGCGCTGTGGAGTGTTGTGCCGTTTCGTTAACGAGAAGACTCTCCAAGCTGCTACTCAATTGGATTAAATTGATTTAGCGATTTTATCAATGAATGAATTCACACACAAATGTTCAACAATTCACAGTATTGATTGCAATTCATTGTGCATATGCTTGACAAAAGGGAAAGCTCTCCTCCATAGCCTTCACAGCAGAGCCTCTCCATCGCGCCCCCCTTCGAAGGCTAATCCCTGGCTTTAGTTCGCCTCGAAAACACTTCCCAAACACTACTTACGTAATTACGTGATTTATTACACCGCACTCAATAAGTCATCCACATCTATGAAGCGCGTCCATCACATTAAATCCTCACTTCACCTTCACAAATTATTCAATAAATTCAAATAGAATTGTGCATATTACCGTCTGTGAGGGGGATTTACGATGCCATTTGAGCTCATTTAAAATCATCCTTCCCTTATGCCACCGCTGGCAAATGAATATCTATCAAAGTGCCTAATTTAATTCACCAAATTGGGTAATTATTTCATTGCGTGTGCTCACATTTTGCCGTAATTACACAGCACTAATGGCACATTGAGCCATTCCCAGCACACACTCGCGCCAGCGGAAAATATCTCCACCCTGTCATTGAAATTAATTTGGGGAAATTTGCAAATTTTCATTTAATAAAACTGCCTCATTGATCTTGTTTGCCCAACACTCGCGTCAATATTTATGCATTCACGGGCAATTGCCACTTGTGAAGCTCTGCGTTGAGCAGTTATTGAATATTGAGGCACATGAACCGCCTGAAGTTTCTGTGAAATTCCCGTCTACATTTCCTCCTGAGCTTTCCAGATTACACATTTATCATTCGAGAAGCATTGCTAACTTATTTCAAAGGCACTTTGCAGTTTCTTTCTCTCTCGTCTTCCCTTTATCATTCTTTCCATTGAAAGACTGCCTGAAAAGGGGAGCAAAGAGTGATTGATACTGTGAAGAAGTGGTTTCTGGAGAAAAGTCAACAGCTTTAGAGACATTAATTCTCTGTAAATACTATTTTAAGAACCATTTCAGGATCAAATCATTGGCCAGAAAGCTCGTTGACCTGAAAATGTTAAGAGCTACTTGCCTTGTTTCAGGTCGAACTCTAAGCAAGTGCTTATCAATGTCCTTTCACATGCTTGCTCAAGGACTGTTTATTGCAGAAAAGTGGCTCTCTGCCAGAAACACAAATGGTAGCTCAGCATAAGTGATTTCCATGATTAACTAATTCCCGTCACGACTGCTTAATAATGATGGGCTTTCCCACTGGATTAGAGGTGTTCTTCCAACCATTCACAAATACAGAATTCATTCATTGCGAGTCTCAGTGAATCTATCGCGCATTTAAATAACGTCACATATTTCTTTGTACAGAAGTAGCGAAATAAGAAGTGTGAACTAATAGCGAGAAGCGCCAGTATCTGTGTTACTTAAAATTCATCATGAGAGTGAATCTTTAGTGCGGTGAATCATTTTGCATAGGAGGACTTTCGTGGTAATTTGCATTTTATCTGGTGAAGACACACCGAACAGCGATGATTCTGGAGACAGTTCTCCTCTATCTTGTCGCCCTGTCGTGGGCATCGTCGTCACTGGCGCACGAGGAAGTGCCTCTGAACACCACGACGAAGCTCAACTTGAAGAATGACGAATACTTGACGGAGAAAATAATCCCGGACATTCAGTTTGTGGTCCAGAAGCAGCTCAATGACAAAAAGTTCGAGACACTCAACATGTTTCTGGTCATTCTCAAGAATTCATTAATTGAGAGCGGCTACCGAGTCACCAAGGGTAATTAAATTTTATGGTATTTTGTACATGTAATTTGATCTCCGGGCGTGGAGTTTAATTTGAGAAATTGGCACTTTTCACGATTTGAATAGTGTGTGTGGAAAATTACACTGAAGGTCGCTTATTAATTTCTTGTGGCCCATTCATCAAGAGCTCCCATTATTTCACACAGATATTCCATTCACAATCATTGTGCCTAAAGTGGACACCAAGAGTGTCGACAAGGATCGCCTGAAGGAGTTTCTGCTGGAGCACATCATTCCCGGAATCGCCTTTCAGACCTTCACCGATGACGATGTGTATGGCAATGGGAACTACCACAAGCTGATCTTCACGAAGCTCCAGAAAGACGACGAGATGCAGTGGTTCATTAACGGCGTGAAAATCCTCCGGATGGAGATCATCAACGAGCGCATGTCCGTGATATTCATCGACGGCCTGCTGGGCGACAAGCGCAGCACAACGTACTCCAAGAGGAACATCCAGGAGACGAATCGCTACAATGAGCCACAGCGACTGGAGATGAAAAACACCACGAAGCACGAGGCGATGGTGGCGAAGGACAGCAAGATATCCGCCCTGATGGCCTTCCTGGCCAGCATGAAGACCGGCACCAAAGTGTTTCAGCACTTCCTGTCCAAGAGCAACTTATCCCATTATCTCAATGACGTGCACTACGCTGTGCTCATTCCCACGGACAATGCATTCCAGCGATGGCACCCAATTGACTGGGGCTTCTATCCATTCAGCGTGCACGAGTTCACCGAGAGTGTCTTGCGAAACCACTTCATTCAGCTCAAGACGCCCCTCCGCATGGAAGACATCAAGCGCATCCACGGTGAGCGCCGCTTCAAGACGCTCGGCGGCGAGACTGTGGTCTTCAAGAGCATCCGTAAGACCTGTCCAACTCTCCTCGGACAGTCTGACTAATGCGTCACTCTCATTTTCCAGCCACTCCCAACATCAATAACGTGACCATCCTCTCGGATCACTCCCTCGCGAACGGCAATCAGGTGTTTCTCATTTCCGAGGTGCTCTTCGTGTCCGAGGCCATCGTCTCGCGCCTCCATCAGATGCACAAGGACAAGGAGACACCGCCCTTGCTGGCCTTCCCCTGGTTCGGCGCCCAGTTCCTCTCGCACTCCTTCCTCGCTCTCGAGAGAGACACGCGATTCACGCAAATCACAAGGTAATCGATCCGAATTCTTCTTACCCTCATAATATGATTCTGGCTCTAGAGACTTTAGCGCCACTAGCGGTGGTCTAATAAACTTCTTATGTTCAGAAGAGTTATAAATCGAATGTCTTAAGCAATTTCTTTTTTTTGTTCTGCAGATGGCTCAACACTGCTGAAATAGCGCCCTTCGTGTCCGGCTCCAACTACACCTTCTTCGTGCCCATGGACTCTGCCTTCGAGAAGCTGGGCTACGACGCCCTGCCGGACAGCGTGCTGGCGTCCGAGGAGGGCATTCGCATGCTCTTGAACCACTTCGTGCGCGGCCGCCTCTACGATCGTGACTTGCGACACGACGAGGTGTTCGAGACCGTGGGCGGAGGGGCGATTCGCGTGGAGAGATCTCCGTCAGGCAACGTGACCGTGAACGGCGCCCGCGTCATCGAGAAGGAGCACTTCGTGTATAACCTCGGCACAATGTTCTACATCGAGAGTATTCTGTACCGGGATCTGGTGCAGGCGAGTCTCACCACCACCACCGAGGCGTCATCGTCAATCTCCACACAGGAGCCGGAAATGGAGACCACAAAGAGCGTCACAGTGCCAGAGGGATCTGCGGATGTGAAGAGGGAGAAGGAAGAGGAGCCCAGCCTCACCGAGGAGGACATCCTGTTCGATGAGGACATCACTCCGCGTGCCCTTCCCGTGCGATTTCAGGCAAGCTCACCGAAATAGGGAGCCAACAGCGTTCATTCATCTCGTCACAATACCAAAAGAAATCAAAAGATTAACATAATTTAATTCTAAAGGCATTCCCAAAATGCACAACATAACATTTATATAGAAATTTCTAGTGATTTTCTCTGTTTGACAGACATTTCATTGAAAGGATATTTGATTTTTATATGTGTTTCGCAAAGTATAGATTTACAAATTTGTTGTACGATAAACTACTGATAGCAATATAGAAAAAATGCGTAATATTAGAAAGTATCTGAAATTGCAGTGGCGAAGGAATTGAAATCCGAGTTCCTTTGCTGGTGCAATTGAAAAAAAAGTGTCATGTTGAGATTTTGAGAGTAGAGGTATTTAGAGTCGCATTTACTGATCTTCGAATAAAACTACTAGAGATTCAAAAGAATATTATGTAAAACTACGCCATTGAGGACATTGAAGATGAAGAACGATGGACATTCTTGATTGAGACATTAATATAGATATGAAATAATCGCAAAATATGACGAGCAACCCGAAATTCATATTTTATCCGTACATTTTTGTATGATATAATCAATTCTTTTCTCAAAATAAAGGATGTGTTAGATAAAGAGAGTGTTTAATTCTTATCTTATCTCGTGATTCACACTGTCGTAAACGCTTCCCTTGTGGTCTGACACATTCGGCCGCACTTCGTAGTTGCAAATTGTCACGCCGTGATGGTGAGCCTCGGTGAACTCTCCCTTCAGGCCGATATAGTGTATCTTGGTGGAGTCCTCGCCGAAGTTGCCCGGAAAGTGCAGTGAAAGGTGGTGCACGGATGAAAAGACCACTGGCTTTGTGTTGTACTCAACAGTGCCATTTGGGTCGATCGTCAGCTGAAACTCCTGATCGGGCTTCGCGTTGGTGTCGTCGAATGTCATCTTTGGGCGGTTCTTGAACAGTCTTAGGTGATTCGGGTGCGTATTGTCATCAGATCCCATCACAATGATGCCCTTCAGCTTCACGTTGCCTGTGAAGGGGATGTTGAACAGCAGTTCGGGATCAGCGTCGCTCTCCACACACTTCTCGGCGTCAAAGCGCTCCTCGAAGGCTCGAAAGACGCACTTTCCTGTGGAGAATCACCGGTAATCATCCTGGGCATGACGAAGCCAAATCCAGAACTAACCTGAATTTTCGGCAGCCTCATTTAGGCACTCCACGTTGTCTAAATCAATCTTCGTGTACAAACTATAGTTGACGCCTATCTCATTGGGATCTGCAGAGCTAGATGAGCCGTGGTTGCAGCAGTGCGAGTGAGACATTATGCACGGAAAAGCGAGCCAAAAACTCCACGGAATAGCAATAAAAACAAAGAGACGCAATGACGCGAATGACAACCCCAACAATCAGGGTTGCCCGATCGACAAATTGATATTTTTCAAAATATCGAGTGCATATTTTTCACTTTTATTTCTACTTTCAATCACTGTTTCGGTCTTAACTACGTGTTTTATTGCAGCTTTGACTATACAAATTCACCTGAGTGCCGCAGTGGATAAAATGTGGTTTACATTTTAAATTGTTGCGATTAAGTGAAATATCGCCGCCAATTTATGGCAGCCCTGCGAATGTCAACTCAAGTGGTGACGAATGGCGAGAGTTCAGTGAGTTGTTTATATTTTGGATCACACTTCTTGCTGCATTCCTGCCCACCGATTGAAGAACAATCTCGCTGAGTGGTATTTTGCAAGATGCTAGGGCCAAACTTCTCAAAACTCTTCCCATCGCGAAGCAGCGCAGTGATTTTCATGTCATACATCGCACTGTTTGTGAATCAAGGTAGAGTTCTCTGCACTTGCTCCCAGATTTTCCAGTATTTTCACGCATTTTTTTCCACAACTGCAGGGATTCTCGTGACAGCGTCCCAGGGAGAGGATAACAAGTACAGCTTTAACACGGTCACTGTGGTGCTGCTGACTGAGCTTCTCAAGTTAATCGTCTCGGCTTGTCTGTACTGCAAAGAGTGAGTATACGGAAGCACACGCACTCTGAGATTGCTTCTCCGGAAGCCGGTTGATATTCGCGAATCTCTTTTGGATATTTAATCATTATCTCACATTCGAGTTCATTGAATATCCTGCCCAGACTTTATCATAATTGACTTAAATTACGATGGGTTTTACGAGTTAATGTTAAAAATTCAATTTCATGTAATGTTTAAATGATTTAATTTTATTTCCATTTTATATTATTACAAATTTTCAATTAATACTGAAATGAATATTTTTAATTTTCCGGATAATTAGCATTCAATGACTGCAAATTAACAGTAAACAAACATTGGGAATTTAACTGGCGATTGAATATCTCAAATGTTTAGTATATTAAAATAACAAATTTTATTAGTCTTTAGAAATTGTATTTATTACTCACACCTTCTGAAATCAATAGAAATTTGTTGAGGATTTTGCAATCTCCAGCTCTTGGGATTGCGAAGAAAATAGATTCATCAAATTCTTGAGCACAAGTCTATCTGGTTTCCTAATAAAACAAAGATAAACACACGGTCTTAATAATGAAGTTGATTGAGACTATAATGATTTCAACTCATACATTTATAATACGGTATTGATTTCGTAAGTTTTTTAATCAGAAGAGCTTTCTTCTATTCGTACTGAATTTGGAGTCACTGGAAATGTTCGTGTGGAGAAGCAATGTCTTCGAAAGTGTGTGCAGAGAAAGCTTCGCAGGGACGAGATGGTATTTCTGTGCTTTTTTGTCTTTCAGCCACTCCTTTAAGTCATTGTGGAGTGAATTGAGAGCGGGCTCTAAAGTTGTCGTGCTGTACTTCGTGCCAGCTTTTCTCTATTGCTTGTACAATAATTTGGCATTTGTGAACTTGTCAAGATTCGATCCGACCACATACTATCTACTGCTCCAGTTTCGTGTTGTGATAACGGGAATCCTGTTTCAGATAATATTCAAGAAGTACTTGAGTCGCAGGCAGTGGCTCTCCTTGCTCCTCCTCACGCTCGGCTGTATGGTGAAGCAGGTGAATTTTTCCAAAGACGAGGCAAGTGAGGGTGTAGCGAATGCTAAGAACACCTCGGGCTTCGATTTTAGCATTAATGCCGTATTTATCTTGACTCAAACACTGTGCTCGTGTCTGGCAGGTGTTTACAATGAGTATCTATTGAAGAGGGAGGATACCAATGTTAATATCTATGTGCAAAATGTTATTATGTATGTCGACTCGATCGTATGCAATGTGAGCGTGTTGCTATTCCAAGGAGACCTCGTCGGTGCATTTCAGATGGATAGCCTGAGAGCTGTGTTTAGACTTAATGTTATTGTTATAATGGTAAACAATGCAGCCATTGGCATTGTCACGAGTTTTTTCCTCAAGTACATGAACTCCATCATAAAGACCTTTGCCAGCGCCCTGGAGCTCTTCTTCACGGCAATTCTCTGCTACATTCTCTTCGCAATACCAATTTACCTTAACACCATCCTTGCCATTGGTGTGGTGTCGTTTGCCGTGTTCATGTATTCGCAGAATCCAGTCGTGAATCTGCCCGCCACAACCAAGAGTCCACATGCAGTCAGTGAAGACACTGAGAAGCTGCTGATGGCCGAGGAGGGACAGGTTAAGGATCAATCATAATACAGACAGCATTTTCACAGCCAAACCCTCTTTTTTCGCGCGACTGAGGTTTTGCGCAAGTATGACGAGGGGAAGTAAGATATCCCAATTTTTGAATGCCTTGGAGAGAAGTGAGAAATTGATAGATTCAGTACTACTACTTTTGTGCCTTTTTTGCCTAATTTCTGTGCAATAAAGCAATAAATCCTATAATGCATCTTATCGCTCCTCGCACTGTGCATTGTCACTTTTATTGCTATACTAAATTGTGTATATCATTGGCATTCTCTAGGGTTGGGAAATGAATTTTCTGAATTTGTTTGAGAGCTTAAAACACGAGCGCAAGAGTTCACTGACCTTTAGGCTAGTTTCAAATGTGATTTTATGCAAAATGCTCAGATGAAATATTATATTACGATGAGGAGCGACTCGAACAATGCTTTTATGGGTGAAATGTGTTTTTGTCAATCTAAGTTAACTTGACTAACCATGTAGAAATGGTTTGAAATTATATATGTGTGAAATATGGCTTCTTTCAATACATTTGCAAGGAATACTTTAATGAAATGCACTCGAAAAGACGACCGTAGGATATAAATTGAGGAGTTTTGCCGGGAGGAGCGAGAGAAGTACGATGTGAAAGTTTGGAAGCTGGCAAAAGGCGGGCTACGATGAAAACCCTTGTGTGGTTGTTGTATCAAAGCAAAACTTCTCTGACTCCGCACTTGAAATGCTGCCCAGCTTTGCTAATTGTTGCAACACTCGAAACGTCCGAATTTGCTCTTCCTACCAATTCGATCTGTTTTCCTTGATTCACCAAAACCAATTAGAATGTTATTTTGAAGCTGTAAAATCATGCATTTTACGTCGAAATTTTGTTGCCTTTTCGTGTGTTAAAGACTAAGTTTGCCTCAGCCTTTATGAGGTCATAAAGTAATTCGATTATGTGGTGTTTAATTAATGAAAGAATGAAATATGACCGAAATTCGTACAATTTCTCTTGACCTTTTTATGCTTCTCCCACTCCTCGATGGCGTCGGAAATTATTTGCGTAGGGCTGAATTTCGAAAGCGACTAATTTGGGGGCAAAACTACACGTGAAATTGTAAATAAAGTGTAAGAAATGAAATTGACCAAATAAATTATTTATAACTTTACTAAAATGCTCATCTTATGTTGTCATCTACTTCCTGTGGTAGTTTTTCAATTGCTGGCAATTTGGAAATGTCCTTAATTATTCTATAATTGGCGCAAGGAATTCGTACTTTTCTGCTCTTTCGCCATGAATCACTGCTGCACGTGTGGAAAGTCTGGGGAAATTCGGCGTCTCTTGCCGCATCACGTGGTGCCAATGTGCGCGCGAGAGGAGGAAATTTTGGGGGGCGAACGCGAGATGGGCTGATGAGACAGAAGAGATGAGAGAAACAGACGGACAGACGCCACCCGTGGCGCCACAATTCTTTCACTTCACCCTGGGTGTTTTATTGAATAATCGACCAACGGGAATTTCGACTGACTGCTGAAGAGCGCTTTGACCACGAGGAGCGGATGAAAAGCCACTCGAACAGACTTATCTCGCTGTATAGCGTATTTTATACCCATTTTAAGCATGCCTGCAGTGCTCGCAATAATGATTCCTCTCAATTTAATAGCTCAACCCGTCTTCCGTGTCACTCTTCTCGCTGGCTACGTGATATTTCGCCGCCCGGTTGAGATTCACTTACATATTTGCAGCAATGTGCACCAATTAGGGGGACATAATTGCTAATTTTGTACATTGAGTTCAATAAAGTTTTAATTACCTTCACTCAAGTTGATTATTTGATTTTCTCTTCTTGTTGGGTATTTCATAGTGACAGCGTCGCGTAGCAATTTTTAGTCTTTATTGTCCAATCGCAATGATTATCAATTGGAACTATGGACGAAATATGAACTGGAAGCGAATAAATTTATAATAGCGATCAATTCTTTCGATGATGTATGATTCCAATCGGAGAAAGACATAGATGAGACCTTATTCAAGCTACTGAAGACGATTTCAATGAAAATTATGAGTAAACAAGTGACTGAATAAATTATGACAGAAATTGTGAGACGTTCTGATACTGGAATCTCAAGTGTCTTATCAGAAGCCATTTCAGAAAAAAACGTTTTTTTTACAGGTGAAACTTGGTATGAATATATTGGGCGATAATTTTTGTATTTGGAGTATAATTTTTTCCTTTTTATGAAAATCATTTAAATATTTTGTAAAACCCCGAAGTATCGGTGAATCTTGAGCACTTCGAGTATAAATTAACCATCATCGATTTCTTTTTGGAAAATTAATCAATTACTGACTTAAATAAGAGCTCACACTCTGCAATTCATCTGTTGTTGTTGTATTTTCTGAAGAAGTTAGACTTTCCACCACTTTGGGAGATTCTTCAGAATAAATCTGTGGATATACAATGAGTGCGTGGGAGGAATTTCCACAGCACATGCCACTATTCAGATGGGACGAGATTAGAGGAAAAGAACGTGATGTCATTCAATTGAGCTTTAATTTCATGAAATGTCCAACAATTCCGTAATACAGCATTTAAGAGTTAAACTTTCTCATTGGGGTAATTTCGTTGCTGCTTCTTCAGCACAAGATCAATGGATTTTTAATTGCTTCTTTACATACAATATGTACAAAAGGTAATTTGGCGCAAGGAAGACAGTCTTCACAGACAGAGCAATCTTTTTTTATTAAATGCCTCCTCCACTCTTTTCAGGCATATTATAGCGCAATGAATCACTATTGCAATTATCGAGAAATTCAGCAGAGTGTTTAAGTTTGACTTCTGTGATGAGGATTTGTAGGAAGATTCAGGCTCTGTTGTTAAATTGAAAGCATTTTAGCATGAGCTGTGTGTTTAAGAAATTGAGTGTTAGTGTTTACCGTAAAACTCGGTTTCATAGCTGTTCTTCCGTCCGAAGGAGTCCGTGTTTAGAATGGTTGGATGCTGATCATTGGGCGACTTGAGATGGAAGTTCATATAATTAACATTGGGAGTCCTAGTCGTGTGTGTCCTGGGTCTCTCCTCCTCCAAACTCTTCTCCGTTGACTGAGTGTAGATGTTGTGAATTGTTGCTAAGCATTTTAACTAAAAACACAGAACAATAGTGTGATCTTTGCGTTAAATTTAAAGAAAATTCGCCATACTTTGAGCTTTCCATCGACAAAGTGATGTCTATTCGTGACAAATTGTATTCCAATAATGGCAGTTTCCAAATTATAATCATGACTCTTGATGGGCTTGTGATATTTCACGTATGAAGGATTAACCTGGCAACATTAAATATATTCAGGAGATTATTTTGAAAACTGAGCTCTTCTACTGAAGTTGCAGTGGGCAAATTTACTCACGGGGAAGTTGTTGATACTCCATGTCAAGTTAGCAGCCGGTTTAGAAAGTCTTGAAGTACAATTTGCACGTACGCTATCGCGAACGCGATACTTTGGACGAGTTCCAACAATGGCAGGACCGTGGTGTGGCAACTCTGAAATTGTTGCAATAATATTTAAAACATTTATTCTTGTGCATCGCATAAAACATACATTTCTATGTGCTTTTTTTCACACTCTTTCGTCTGTTTCGCAAATTCAATTTTCACGCTAATCCAAAATTGGCACTCTTCTCCGAAAATTGCCCTCTGTCCCTAAAACTTTTTCAAACTTGTAATACCAATTTAAGTTGAAGCGATGTGTTGAGGGAACATATTCCACTCTTATGCCACTGTAACTCCATCTGCAAACTACGCGAACTCGGCGAGGTGCACAGCAATGATAGACATTTTATAATTGATGAAAAGTAAATGGCACTTTTTAGAGCTCTTCTCTCATATTAATTCCCTTGACAATTTAAGGATACACAGCCAATGACGACGATTTGCCAGAGCATATTAGCTCTGTTGTGATGTCTCAAACAGGATAACCCGGAAATGTATTAGAGACTTTTGTTTTATTCATCACGGATGAAACATTAAATTTGTACAAAATAAAATCCTTTTACCTTTCTCTGTCATTGTAATACATTTTCCTTAGAGAGGCATGATTTTTAATCCGGATGAGTAAGGAGTAAATAAATTAAAATACCCTCTTAAAGGGCATTTCGAAAAGTGCGCACAAAAAATTGTGAATTTACTTGAAAAATCCATCCATATTCTCACGTGAACATTATAAACACTGTGATAATTGATTACACTATAGAGAAAAGAAAAGTGGTGGGTTGGTAAAATTGGGCGTAACTTTTCTTCGGGTGTTTGATAAAATCTACGAACCTGCCTTTTCTGAATTTTGAATAATGAATCACCTCAACTTTTCCATAAAAATGTTTCCCCTTCAATTGAAAATTTGACCAAAGCTCAGGTACAAAAAGTTAATAAATACAATATTGATTTGGAATCTTCTGTGCGGGAAGTTTTGGTTATTGTACACTTTTCCATGTGCTCAGAAAATTATATATATAGAGTAATTGTTAAATTTCTTTCCTTTTGTTCTTCTGAAGAATTCTGTTGCTGAGCTATTTTCCTGTCTCTCTCTGTGTGAATGGTGAAAGTGCCATTGGCACATTTCTCACGGCATTTTTGGTTGTCAACAGAGTACTTCTATAATTATATTATTGAATAAATACGAGCGTGTTTGCTCACAGAGGGAAAGAGTGCTAATTTCTCCGAGAAAGCTGTGAATTTGGAAATTTATTTTGAAAGAACCAAAATAAGTGGCACACAAAGGAAAAAAGAGGGGAAACATTTTGCAATATCACCCACCAACTACTTCCATGTCTGCTGACGAAATGAATGTGTGAAAAGAGGGTGCATCCACGGTAACTTCGCAGCTGTACCTCCCAGAACTTATAAGTTGAACATCCTCCAGAGTAATGTGGCTCTCGTTGGATAAGGATTTCTGCAAGAATTAACGCTTTTCAGACCATTTCACCCTTTTATTTATTCACATCCTCCATGGTTTTCAGCATAGGTGTTGATTTTTGCTAAAATATTTGAGAAAATTTACCAAATATTTCCTTATGCATCGAAAACTATCCTTCTTTGGGGGCCTCTTTGGTTGTTTCTACGAAATTCTTCGGATTACTCTCTATGCGGAACAAGAGGTTGGAAAAGTTTTCTGTGCTTTTATGAAATTTTCAGCAAAATGGCATCAAATTTCTTAACCACCTTTATTTGATAGCCCACGTAAGTGAAGGATAGAAATCTATTCTCTACCATTCGATCCTCCGAATTATATGCCTTTATGCTCATCAACAAGTTTCTTACTCCAAAACTTGCTGCAATTTCATCGATTTTCAATGCCTAAACTTACCATTTATGTGCACATGCATTTGAAACAGTGCATCGTGGAAAAATACTGTGCATATAATACGAATGCGATGTGTGCGAAGAATGGAGGAAGTGACAAAAAGTTGAAGATAATAATATGCTCTATGTAGGTATATAACATAATATGTATGCGTGCCAGTAAGGTAAAATAATTCACAGTTAGAGAGTTCCCTGATGTGGGTGGTAAAAGGTGGGAGAAAAGGTAAGAAAAGTGACAAAATATTTATCTTCTCTTATATATGTAAATATTTCTCTGAATTAATGTTGTATGCAAATTTTCTTTAGCAATTTCATACACTTTTTCTTCTCGTTCGCCCTCCATTTCCACCATCGCGAGTGTTATAATGAGGAAGATGGTATGATGAATTATCTCACGCAATAGATTTCAGGTTAAAGTTGAAAAATATTCAAAATTCTATTTTCTCTTATACAATTTCAACCACAAAAGCTGTCACGCGGAAAAGCTCTTGCTTCTTTCATTTTCCAGTGAGAAAAACTTGAGACTGTTTTAGTGGAAACTGTGAAGAAAATGCAATTATACTCTAAAGAACTATTTTCGATGTTTTCGTATAATTGTAAATTGCTCCCAAGTCACCATTTGACTGGTGTATTCGCAGTATTGAATTTATTAGTGAGGAATAACAAGGAGTGCAAAGATTTCAAATGGATTTAAGCTATTTTCCAGGCTATTTAATTTTGACCAAGTGATTTTCTCGTCTTCTGAGACGTCTTGCAAAGTGTCATGCAATAAGCTTTCTCATTCAAATACGTAAGCGCAACTTGAGTACTTTATGCCTCACACCCCAAAAGTGTTTTCACGTGAGAAATGCGAGGCATTTTCATGAACGGCCACGGAAGAAAGTGTGAATATCAATGGCAAAAAAATGTGATTTATTCATACAATTGCAAAGTTTACAGCATGGGTTTGTGCAACTGATTTATACTCACAATTATTGCAATTCCTGCAATGGAGAATATTTTCATCGTGGGCACTTCTTTCGGCGTGTACCCGTAAAACTCCTGTCGACCCTTGTACCACTTGACAGAGTACAGTGCATCTCCTTCGAGGTCATAGTGACAAATTAACGATGCAGTTCCACCTCTTCGGACGGCATTTGGAACCGTGACATACACATCACGTAGAGAATTCACCCTCTCTGCTGGCGAGACAGAGTAACATGTGAGATAATCATACCCCATTCGGGTGATAAACATGCATCTCACCTGCAAAAATGCTCATCAGCAGAAGAACTGGAATCTTGCAGGGGATATTTGAAATCATATGCATGAGTGATGGCATTGCGATGCTGCAGAATTCTTGAATACGACCTTTTTCTATGCAATGAATTTTAGAAATGATCCACACGTTGAAACACTATTCTAATTAGCAAGTCTTTCGGAGGAAATCCACAGAGTTGAATGTTTAATTGGCAAATTCCAGTGACAAGTGAATTTCAACACTTTTAATTGCAATTTTATTTATGCATAGGAACACATAGTCCGAGATGTCAAAGACTTGATGGACAAATTGACACGTTCATATGAGCTATAACGAAATGGTTCTTCTTAAATTCACTTTTCAGCTATCTTTTAATTATTCGGACTGTGGAAAATATGGAGATTCATTGATTTTCTTATTAAATCTCCGCTGGAAATGGAATATTTTACAATAATTAAATTATACGGTTCTGAAGGAATCTGGCTATCAATCAATTTTCACGTGTGTTACTTTTTGACTTGATAAGTTTCTGTTTGAAATCTTCACTTTCCTGATAGAACTTTTCTTATTCGGACAAGAGAATTCATCACTTTAATTATATAGTCTACAATTATACAGTGAACAGAAAGCACATTTCCTTGAGATCTTGTGTTACCGACAAGTGTGTTCTGCACGGAGGACTTTCTCCGACTCCTGCACGCTACCGACTAAATCCTTCGTCTCGAAAACAAACACATAATTGAGATTTCCTCATACACTGGATTCACAGTCACACACTTGTGAAAATCTCCAATGTAAATGGGGAAATCTGCATCTTTGCCGATTGTTATCAGTAGCGAAGCGTTCAATATTGATTTTTCTAACATATAGTGAAGTAAAATAATTAATAGAATATTTAAATAATTGTCTAATTGCATTATATTTGACTGAAAAATTGCCAAATGCTTTGTAAACCCAGCACTTTACCTCTTGCACGCATGCGCCGTAATATTTAAGATTTTCAAAAGGAACATGTATCGTTTTCATTGGAAATATTCTACCTAAAGAATTGAGAATTACGTATTGTACTTTTTATGCTCGCCACCCTCTTTCCTCAGCCTCGAGTGAACATCAGAGGAAAGAAAACTTTTACTGACCCCCTTTCGGCACAAAGCAACAAAAGATCCCTCGAATTGTACTAGGAAAATTCACAACATTTACTACCTTCTCTGTGGCTTCAGGGAGAACTTGTACCCGCAGAATCCTATAAATTTAAATAATTAAAGCATCTTACATTCCCAGTATTATCGTATAATCCAATCCTTCTCTCATGGCATGGGTGAAGAAGGAAGCACCAAATGCCCCGGATGTACAAAAAATCATTATCCCTGCCTGATAGTGATGCTGTAGTCCCGAAACTTTGTAAATTTATCATATTACACATCTGATAAGTGAAATTGTCTGATCTCTCACAAATTGGGAACATTAGAGAACCGTCCTGCCTTTCCCAATTGACTGGGAAGCTTAGGCAAATGCCTTTACAATCTTTATGGTTATAATTTGATTAAGTTCATTTTGCATATCGCATTGGCATATGTTTTCCTTTCTTAGAAAATCTTCTTGCTTCCATATACATAATGTAGGTCATGAAATTACCGCTTATCTGCTTTAGGGTGTGATGATTCAGTTGAGCTTTAAGTAAAGAATTTTCGCGAAAGGTCGGGGTTAAATTCCAGACTATACATATGTATGTTTATGTAGCCCTGAAGATGTGCTTCTTCGTGTAGAGTATAAAGTGGAGATTTGACGCTTTAACCAAGAATTCCTCTGAAACCTAAACTAAATATTTTTCAGTTTTCTTGAACTTGAATAAGATGCGCGGTTTCATTAAGTCTTTATTACTCTGTAAGGTAATATATGTTGTAAAATATTCTAAATTTTCACAAATAACATATTAAAAGCTGCGAAGTTGTTTACTTCTGGCTCCGGAATTTCCGCAGAAAAAACCACCTAGAAATGACTCTAATTGTCTTTCACCACTGAGTGGAAAAATGCCACACGATAAAGTTTCACTGTTTTCCCTCTTGTCCAGCTCTTTTCATCGCAACGGACGGCTAAACAGAAGTAGCGCGATGGTTTTCGTCTAGAAATCACCACATCTTATTGTTAAAAGTTACTTTTACAAAACTCTCCTCGTGGGCAAAAGTACTCGAATCGATATTGTGAAGAGATTTGTTAAATAAAATATTCTTCCTCTTGCATTTGCTCTTGTACGTGTGCGTCTCTTTCATTGTCCGACGTCTTTGTTGCTGATAGTTTCTCCAGTGCCATTACTGTAATCACTCCACTTGCATAGTGAATCCTTTGCGTCGTCCTCGGCGAAATGATAAATAAAATACACCACTACTCGTGGGTGGAATGGACATTTTTAGCATTTCTTGGAATATTCCGCATGGAGGGGATTTCTTGCCTTAATCTCGGGTTGAGTGAAAAATGAGGTATAGAAGGAGGATGGTTTGATGCCTTTGTGTATGACGTTGAAGAAGTGATTGCGTACACTTTTCTCGGCGCAGCTTATTTCACGATGCTTCCTCAATCCTGAGATGCCTGGTACGTGGCATGGAAGAGCCATAAAGGTTTCAATTACAATGTCACGAACTAGTTTTAGTGAGTAGAAACGGCAGAGTCTGAAATGCGAGATAATCGCTCCTCGAGACATTGACGATGTCGTCCATTTGTCGCTGCACTCGTCATCCTTTTGAAGTTCTGCAACTGTGGTGAAATCCCTGTTTAATTTTCAAGCAGTGCGACTAATATCAGCATTAGAATGAACACGTGAGGAAGTAGCATTGTGATGCTATTATGCTCCTGGCTTCCCAATCAAATGAATGCTCCGAGATTATAGCATGCATGAGTGCATTACGAAAGTACGGCTCATAAACTATATATTCCTTTATTTCGGATTAAAGTTAGAGAGATTTCCATTCAACATGTCATGGAGGGTATTTTAAATGACATATTTTTGCAATTGACCTGCAGGATTGAAAGAAGTTCTAGGAAAAATTGCCGAGTTATTAATGTAGGAGACACTCGAAGAGGATGAAAATGCTATCAGCAAATACAGTAATGGCTATCGAATCAAAAGGGACACAGAGAAAAAAACCGGCTGCCGAAAACTGGAATGAGATCACACAAAATTCATGGTCAGTCTTATTAATTGTTCAACTAATGCCTCCTCTTCTGGCCCACCATCAACAGTTGTAATTTACATCTCACACAGTCCACATCCCACATTTCGCACGAAGATAAATTTGAAGCTTCTCCTACCATCCTACCTTATAATTTAGGAGCATTTTTCAAACTTAATTTCCAGTGTTTTCCCTCTTGCTTGACCCAGAATTTTCGCGACTTTTAAAGTTTTTTCTCTCGAAGAGTGTATTTTTTTAAAAGTGAATAAATAAATTAGTGTACAGTGTATCAATTGAATACTTGAGTATTGGACGGCGGAAAGGTGAGTTTGCATACCTGCATATTTCCATTATTTCCTTATGACAGCATTAAATAATAATGCGAATCATCTGAATATTTGATGTAGTGTTTCGGTGAATATTTTCTGCATAAATTGGCCCTGAGTGTAAAAGCGTGTTTAATATTCGTATGGAGTTGGGGTTTGGGGAGGATTTCGAGGTGGGGAATTAGTGAAGAAATGACAAAAGAGACTTTCTGCAAATGTTCTCCGCACTGTCATCGAATTTTATGGGGCCACGTTTGCTGAAATTGTAATTGTGGATTAACTGTTATGGATTCACTTTTAATGTCTTACCTCGTGTTATCTCGATATGTGATTTATCGATGGAATAAAAATCGAATTGTTAAAGTAAATTGCAAGAGTGAGTGTTAGTCATATTCCACAAATACAGCGTGTTCTCTTTTTCTCACTCTCACTGCATTCACTGTGCAGCATTTGGCGAAGTGCCTTGCCGTCGCTCAATCTGTGGATATCATCAAGTGATATGGGAAAATCTATCAGTAATTTTAGCGCTTGAGGTGGAGTCTCAAAATCAGAGAAAATGTGGAATCACGGTTTTTGTGGGATTTAGCGTTGCCTTATCAATAAATTTTTGACGCTATTTATTCCTGTTATCGGATGTTGCATGAATACACATTCACACATTCGACGTACATTCCCAGAGAGGGCAGAAAATGAAAATTTCGTGCTGGACTATCATGTGTCATGGGCAGTTCTCTGCTAAGGCTCCTTCCTCGCGGTCTAGCGCATATAGTGGTAGACAAGACATGGCGAACAGAAAAGTCCAATTGCGCCGAAATTTCACCGTGCAACTGTAATAAATAAAATACTTGTGTTTTTGTGCTATAATGTGACTGTGCAGAAAGACATTTTTCCCCTGACTCCAGACTAAACATCGCAGTTGTCTGGTTTTTGTGTAGCTTGTTTTTTTTCATCTGCTGTTTTTGACTCCAAAACCAATATCGCGTTTTGTTCCTCAAACTAATTTAATTGAACAAATCACTGACAAAATGATGACGACAGTGAGTCTCATACCATCCAATTGTGCCATCCTTTTACCGCTTCTCCAATTGTATTGTGTGTTCTTTCATCTCGTTACAGGATATTGATATCATGGCTTCATTTTTATCTCTGAGCAAGATAAAGATCTCTGGATCCGATTCCCGTAGTGAGACTCAAAGTGAAGTTTCTTCTGCTGACAGCGAATTGAATGATTTACGTTCAATTGCCATTCAACTGGGAGTCAGTGTGGATGAATTGTCTGTGGAGAGATTCAAGATTGAGCGGCAGAAATTGGAGAGCATGCTTTCAGGTTTGCCTGTTTTCCATATAGCATTCCTTTTGCCTTTTTTCCATGCCATCAAGCAGATCAAACAAACACCCCTATTAACATGACATGTTGTGTTGCTTTCGACGAAAGGAGAATATCACAATTTGTGTGAAATTTAATTCATTCCCATTTACCTTATCATATCTGTGCATTTATCATGGGAATTTGTTTGCAGGATTATTTTCCAAAATGTCGATAGTATCTGTGATTTCTACTGGACAATTTTATTCTATTTCTTGTATTAAATCCAGTCCGTCACTTAGCAATTTAATTTGGAGATTATCAACAAATGAGCCGTCATGTTTTCTATTTAGGTTAATCCATTTCTTATCTTACGTTGATATTGTCGATTGTAGAACCATTTTATAATGAAAATTCAACTTTATGCAACAATTGAAATTAACTATGATAAACTTCCAATGTGTTCTTGTATTAAAAATCTCCCTGAAAAAAAATGTCTTTTCCAGAAGGTGCCGATGGACTTGGAACAAACAAGGCCGAAATGTTTTTTCAATTGGTAAACAATTCATAGCAATAATAATAATGGCATATTTTGAATAATATTTCTCCCTTCTCTCTTTAAAGATCATGCAGGACACTTGCACGTACATTTGCTGGCCGTGCCGGCTGAAGATCGGCGCCAAGACCAAGAAAGATCCTCATGTGAAGATCATTGGCAAGTCTGAGAATGTGCTGAAGGCGAAGGAGCGCGTGATGGGCACACTGAACTCTCGCGGCATGAGAGTGACAATGAAGCTAGACGTCTCGTACACTGATCACTCATTCATCATTGGCAAGAGTGGGAAGATCATCAAAAAGATCATGGAGGACACACAGACGCACATCCACTTTCCCGACTCCAATCGCAACAATCAGAACGAGAAGAGCAATCAGGTGTCTCTGAATGGGGCTCTGGAGGGTGTTGAGAAGGCCAGGGCGTTCGTGAGGGAGTCTGCTCCACTTGTGCTGCAATTTGATCTGCCAATCTTGGCGCCCACTCATCCTGTGCCAGACAACGAGTCGCCGTACATAAAAGAAGTGCAACAGAGCTATGAGGTCCAAATTGCGTTCTCCAATAAGCCCAAATTGCATTCACTGTCGGTGATTGTGAAGGGATCCGAGCGGAATTGCATGAATGTGAAAATTGCTACGCAGCTTTTAATTGATAAATTCTGCACCAATACACCGGCACGGATCGATGTGATGCACCAGATGGAGATTTCGCCACAGCATCACTGCATCGTCAAGGGGAAGGACAATCGCAATTTATTGCGAATCATGGAGTACACGAGCACAAGAATCATCTTCCCGGACTTGACGGATGCCAACATAAGGGCTCTGCGTCGATCGCAAGTTCTCATCTACGGGAACATCGAGGGTGTCTATTCGGCCAGACAGCTGCTCTTGGGCAATCTGCCGGTGGCTCTGATGTTTGACTACCCGAACAACACCATCGATCCGTCTGATGTGGCCAAGCTGAACAATTCCCTCGATGTCTTCATCACTGTGCGTGCCAAGACTCGCCAAAGCACTCTCAGCATTGTGATTAAGGGCGTTGAGAAGTACATCAACGATGTTTACCAGGTGAGTGTGTTTCTCTATAAAGTAGCTTTGTGGAAAATTTCCAGCGCTTATCTCTTTGAGCAGGCACGACATGATATTCTCAAGTTGGATCCCCCGGTCGTCCAGGCCAGCATTCCGGCCAACTACATGCTGCACATGGAGGACAAGCGTCTCATGCAACTGCCAGCACTCCTTGCACTGCATCCGGAGAGTCCCACACCCACGCCAATTGGCTATTTATCGGACAGGTCATCACCGTACACTCTCTTCGAGGGTGGTGGCATCCAGAATCGCTACCAGACGAGTCCTAGCAGCCTCTACTCCTTCACACCGAATGAATTGGCCTCAGTGACTATTGAACACCCAGCGGACAATAAGTATCTCAATGTGCCCAATAATATTTCACCGAGAAGTGTGAGCAACAACACGAGTGGGTATCAAAGTTTCAGCAGCAGCACCAATTCCCTGGACCATTTGAACATGTACCCATCGCTGAATCACCCACCGAGTGTCAATTCATCCCAGGAGAGGATTTTCTACGGATCAACCAGCCGATGCAATAGCAGCGGCTATGGCAGCTCACCATTTCTCAACACAAGTGACTCACAGTCATCCAATATCAACTATCAGATGAAACGCAATTTCGATCACAGTCCTATATTTGATTTCAATTTAAAGAAATTGGACGGACTCAAAGCCATGAAAACATCACCAATGGGCGAGGTGAGAATATCAATGAGACCATTACTCTTTCACTCCGTGGATATTTGAATACTGCGCCCCGCAATATATTACTATCATCTTTCGCATTGCATGGAAAGGTCTCGCGTGTACAATGAACCAATTCCATGCCATGGCATTTGGGAGAGTTAAGGAACTTTCAGATTATAGCTCTCAGATAGACTCGCTAATATGGTTTTATGGCTCTTCGGCCAATCGATTTGCGAGATTGACTGTATCAATATAATGACAGCTCCACTTTTTGGAGTTGAAATGAATGAATAGCAAATTTACTTGCAATCATTAAACAATTTTCATCCAATTCAATTGAATTTAATTAAATAATAATGAGATTGTGTGGAAAAATTATGTGACACGATTAAGTCAAGTGAAAATTATAGCTAACGCAGTTATTATTCCAATTTTTCGGTCATTCTTCATATTTTTTCTCGTAACTTAATGCCCAAATACCTTTCCATGGAAATAACTGCGACTGGATAAATCATGCAGGATCACAAGGATGATTTGCATTTGTATTATTCAGCCGAGGACTCCGACTTCTGCTTGGACAGGCTTGGGACTCAGCAGGACATCACCCATGGTTCCGCAGGATGGAATTTCGAGTGCATTCATGTCTGATTGGGAGGACACGACCAGTGCATCGCCCTATAGGATGGGGAAGACAATTGGGATTCTTGATTCTACACCAGTGCAGCGCAGAGCACAAATTGGACATCATCGAGACTTGCACAGTCTGCTCACATCTCTTGGCTTGGAGCACTATATAAGTGAGTTTGTGAGGCTGTTGTGGTTTTCACGAGATGCCAATTCCTTATCACTCTTGCAGACACCTTTGTGTCCAATGACATCGATCTGGAGATTTTCTCCACGCTGACCGAGGAGGATCTCACGAAGCTGGGCATCACGTCCTTTGGGGCGCGCAAGAAGCTCCTGATGGCCATCACAGGGCTGGCCGTGGTGTCCAACACGCCGACGAATCATCGTCCCAAGTTCTCCGGATCGGCGGCGCCGGGAGCCGAGAGACGCACGTCCAGCTCTTCTTAAGCGTTCGCGGGCAATTGTGTCCAATTGACGAGACATCAATTGGATTTTTCATATTGCCACGGAATTTTTTTTGGTTGTGTTGAGGAGTTGCACTAGATTTAAGGAATCAGTGAGAATTAATTCTCAACTATTTTCAAGCAGCAACTCATCCCATCAAATCATCCCCTGTTTTGTGTTACCATTATATATTTTCGTAACTATGAGGCATTTTCTTTTAAGTTATGGTTTATTAGAATGTATCCCTATTTAAAATTTATGCATCATCACTTACCATCTAACGTTTAATTTAGATTATCTCCCAGTATAAATTAATTGCAGTATTTTTTCTGATATTTCTGCATGAGAATTCATAATAAGAGTATTCTTATGGATTTGATATTTATTATTTTATTTGTAATATATCTAATGAAAATGGAACAGAAGAGGCATTGTTAGATCAAAGAAGAAAGTATGTATTCTCATAGAGGAGAGTGATGGAAGAAAAATTGTTACTTTCTAATATTTGAGCAATATTTATAAGATGTCCAGTTAATATTTTCCATCCTTTTCCTGGCGTTACTAATTTTTAGTTAAGGGATTACTCGAACATGTTCAATTTTAACACTATACATATAGTTGCATCTATATTTAGTATTGAAAGTTGATAATTTGGAGCTGAATGATCTTGTAGGGAATCAGTGAGTGTGTTGAAAAAACTACAGACCTGTGATGTTATGTTCAATATCAGTATTTTAAGAGGATCTTTCCTCTAATACAACGAGACACACAATTGATCACATTTGACAAAATATTCTCTATTACTTTCAATATTAATTTATACATAAATTTATGAGTGAGTGGATAAATTACCAAATTCTTTATAAGTTGATAAATTCTTTTTACTATTATAAAAAGTATATTGTAGATTATTGCACTGATAACAAAAAAAAACATTGTAAACTTTGCGAATTGATTAGTATAAAATTGCATGCGAATTTGTAAGACAAAATTTACTCTAGAATTAAATATAAAATGAGGTCAATGAAGCATTTGAATTTTACTGAGAGTCTATTTTCTGGGTGCAGAGCGGAGAAATGGTGAAAAAAAAACACTATCACCAGACCAGGGTGCGCCTATGGGAATGGAGTAGGTATAAATCATATGCTACAATAATGATATTTTGGTTACAATTTGGTGGCATTTGTCCAGTCCGCAGGATTATATGCAAAATATGTATATATTTTGCGTATATCAAATATTACAATATACAATTGCGACTAATTTGCGGTTGTGACAATGAAAAAGGGTTGGAATGTTGGGTTCTGATGACAAACATTCTCGCACCATTCCGTTGATAAATTTGCGAGTGAATTTGTGGAAAGCAGCAGTGTCAATGTTTCGCCTGTGATAAATCGTCTATTCATACGCATGCATGTACATTTGTCAGATACTTCTGATGACGATACAACCACAATCAGACCCAATAATTCATCGAAATGTGTAGTCCCTATATTTGCACGCACAAAGGGCCTCAAATGCGCAGAAGAATGTCGTAGAAATTGGGCGCAATCCTTGCTCTGGGCTGTGGGTTTGGTTGGGGTCTCTTTCCTCGTGTTCGGGACAAGCGTGTATGGGAATTTCATAAATGATATCATCCACCACTGTTGTGCCTCTAATTCTATCTCATGGACGGGAGAGGATGAATTATGAAACGTCTGCAAATAAAAGGAATGGTAATTTCTTCAACATTGACCCGGGAAATCATATAACTTTCAATATTATGCTGTGCTCAACTCATACTTTTGTCTCTCTTCTTTTAAGAAATTGATTAAGGTAGAATGAGCAACAGTAAACACATCGATTCTTCGTAGAAATATTTCTAGAAAGGGAAATCTTTCTCTCTCTTGTATACCTTTTATTGGCTGAATACAAGAAAATAAATATATAAGTAAATTGTTTTCCAAATAACTTCGAGAAGCGATTGTTGATTACCTTTTCATTATTCTTTTGAAGAAAAACATAATAAATAACATCACCTTTCTGTTTGGAGAAGTATTAAGGAGAGTTCCTTGAATAATTTTGGCTACATTCTGAAATATCGTCTTGGTTGAGTAATTGTGTAGGTGTTTAGTATAAAATTCTGGGAAATGCGTGAATAACAAGTAGCAGTTGCTCTGCTTTTAGCTTTGCTTATGGCAAGGACTTTGACTGAATCTGTACAAGCGGCTCTGATATCATGTTATATGTAACTACGATACTATTGTTGTGATTGACGCAAAGAACGATATATATAATCCTTGTATTGATAATTGTCCATGGACGCTTGTGTAAGTTCTAATCCTTCAGCCTCGGATCTTCTCCGTGTGTGCATTATTGAGGAAACTGTGGAAGCAAATGATTGTTTTCCACATCCATTCCATACAATCTAACTACAATGTCATATATGAGCATGAAAAGGAATTTCATGGGTTGAACAATTCTCAATAGTTGATGATTGATGACCATAACCACGAATAGATACCCACATTTGCCCGCAAATGCTGAATTGAGAGAATACACATGAATCTACTGCCAGAGCATTGTTCCTATTTCACTCTCTGAGACGCACTAATGTGATTGCAGCACCGCAATTGATGATGAGAAATAGATAAATGTATTATCGCCATGTTACTCACTTCACACCATATATACCCAGAGGAGATGAATCTCAATTAAGCACGGCTTTAAACTCAATGAAATTATGTACAATTTTTCGTCTGACAATTTTCCAGATCCTCACGCTTGGTGCACTTTAGGAGGCAATCAAGAGAGTGTGTAAACACACGCTCGTGCTTTTGAGCAAATACCGCGAATATTCAAATTACCTTCTACATCAGACACATTTCCAAATGTGTGACAGAAATAATTATACAAATATGTAAACACATCTTAATTATATAACGAACACAATTTTCTAGTCATTTCCCGATTCGATGAAAGGCATCATTGTGAATAATTAACACTAAAATTTGCTCAGCATGACGTGTGTGTGTGTATATAAGAACGTATATATATATATATAATGTAGGATTCATAAGAATGTCAGTAAGTGAATTTAGGCATTCCCAAAATTCGCTATTCATCGTATTTTGCAATTAATAACGCCTCGGTCAGTGGTTTAGCTTGGCAGCTTTATTAAGCTTTTGCTAAATGATAAAAATGTATTGAAGGTCTGTTGAAATTTCAGCGATTATTTCTTTACTGAGAAGAAACTTTTTTCGAAAATAACTTTTCAGTTTTTCCTAATAAGTTTCCGTTACCTGTGTATGTGCAAACTACGATGAAACTAATTGGAGATGCAAAGCTGTATGAGGTTTTTCAAGGGTTTTCCGAATCAAAAACAATTTGATGTAATCCTTTGCAATAGAGTTTTTAATCTGATACATGTTCAAGAACTTCACGATTTTCCGATGGCTTGCTATCCACGTTTTCCCATGATTATAATTATTGAAAATTATATGGAGAATCGCATATATGTAAAAGCGGCTTAAAGTGCAGTGGCTGATGAAAAGGGCTTGGGTTTACCTGCGAATCATGAAATCGGATTAAAAAAAATTCAATTTTGTGGTGAAAACATTATTAATTTTTTTTCCCACAAACATCAATTGCACAGTAATCCCTCTGTGTGAGCACCCTCGAAATGTGAGTGGTGGTAAGGAATAACAAATTACCCCTTTAATGTGCAATAGTGTTGAATGCAATAGGTGAATATACAATTTATCCGCAAATTCGTAACAGTTAGTTTGCACTCTATGTGCACTTTTGCGGGGCTTTATTGTGTAATATGTGTCACTCGACAACATTCATTATTATTGCTTTCTGGGTGTAAATGAAATATACCGAGTGCAAATTTTTAGACTTCGCTTGTTGTGCTTTAATAAATTATGGCGCTCATGTGTTGTTACGGGAAGGGAAACAAAGTTTTGACTGTCACTTCCATTGCTGTTGACCAGAAGAGTATTGCGGGATGTTAGTGGGCATTTAATATGGACAGACATTAGAATGGAGAATTAATTTATTCGCCATATTCAAGATTTATCTACAAATTAGATTGCGTTTTTGTGATTCCGTAAGTGGTTTTTGATATATTTTCCGTAGAAACAAGACATCCAGCATGAGACATAATCAGCCTGGAAGAAAAATGAGATGTGTTGCGAGAGCACAAAGATTATTCATAATTCTCTTTTGCTGCGCACTTTTATTTGAAAATAAGCAGAGAAATATATGAGAATTTCAATTTAATGCAAGGATTTCACCATTTGAAATATTTATTTGCCAACTCCGACATTTAAAGCAATCAATCAAACAGTCAGCAAAATTGTTCAAACATGGTTAGCTGAGATGAAAAATTCAAATACGCTCTTTCTTTGAGAGATAGTCATTGTCATTCAAATTATGAACTCATGTATTAAGTGTAATGAAAGATAAATGAAGCCACAAGTCACAGTTATGATGAAAAATTAATATGTAAAACAATGAGAGTGATAGCATTTCTGTAATGCAAGTGCTTCAAGCAGACAACTTCTCTATATTGCGCAAACATCACAAAAGAAAATGCTTAACCTTGTCAATTTTTATTCCACAAATTTATATCATTTCACAGATGAATGATTAAGAGAGGTGGAATATCAGAAAAAAATTTGCAGGAAAACTATCCCGTGTGAACTGTATTAAGCGTAAGAGGATTTTCTCATTTGCAGTTTTCTTTCAAACTGTTCATCCATGTTATAGTATTATAACTTTTACGTGCTTTTAAATCGACTCTTTCATTAATTCAGCCGCGAGGATTTGTGTGAAAATAACGAATGGTGAAGTGAAAGAAGCCAACATTAATTCAAAATTAACATAATATCTCAATGGAAAATTATCCTTTTTGCTGCATTCACAGAACATGTCATTAAGTCATAAGGATGAAAAGTGAGAGAAAGAACGATGTACTTTTTACAGGATTTTTCCCTCTCTTGCCATTTCAAATTACTTGCAATTTAGTCCGCTGGAAGTTCAGCCAAAATTAGGATAATGTGAGCTTCTCTATGGAATTCCAAGATTATCGCATTATCACATGAAACAGACAGAAAAATCAGACTGAGTCCAAATAGAATGAATGGTAAACTTCTGGCTACATAGAAACTTTTCTGTGCCACGAGAAGAAAGAATTGCTACCTTAAAATACATCATTCAAAAGTCACAACACAAGTTTGAAATTCTTTGAAATCGTGAAATGATTTCAGCCTTACGAGAGTGAAAGGTTGAAAAAAGCTCTGGACACAATCGCAATAGATTTCGCCTTGATTTCACGAGAAAAACTTCAGGTTGTTTCTGCATATGAAAGTAGTGGAACGAATTTAACGAAAAGAATGACTTTATATTTTTCATTTGATGTCTCATTCTTCACTTTACATACATTCGATCTCATCTTACATTGTTTTTTTTCTCATATTTTATGCAATATTAGATTCTCTCATTTCACTGTCATCTATCACTATTACGGTGAAACTGAAAATCGATCTTACTTGCCATTACTTATTGACTAGACATTTATTTCTGTAATGCATTGGGAAATTCATCTAATATTTCCTTGGTTTATCACCTAACAAAACAATTAATCTAGTCTACAACTGTCGTCTGACTTTATTTCATGGTTACAACTGCATCTAATCTTAATTACCCATTAACTAAACAATGTAATTCATTTTAAGTCTTTCATTATGTAGTAACATGTATTGCAATTCTACATTTACTCTTTACTACACTTCTTTTGATTTCACTTCGTCTTTATTTTTTACAATCATTTACTCATAATCTTATGTCATTTCATAGGTCTTTATACAAATTTATTTCAAATTGTAGCTCATTTGTATAGAAGCAATTTTTTTTATACTGAAAATCTCTTTTTACAATTTGCATCCTTATCACTAGTGACTTGGATAGAATCAACCTCCTGCACACATTATCAAAGATAGTATAACCAAATAATAGCATTTGTTGCCGAAGAAGTAAGTCTCAGCTTTTGTCACCTTGAAGAATGCACTCGTTGAAGAAGATGATAAATCAGCTGAAAGGAAACAGAGAATTAGCAATGATTTGAATCGAGTGTAGTGAAAAATCTGCCCTTAATGCATCCCTTAAAGCAAATGTCTTATCTTAGCCTTCTTTCCAAATATCAATATGATGTTTTTCGCCCTACATTAGTCCCTTTTCAGGATAATCCGTCTTTCATACAAGAACATTTGCCTTAATATTTGGTTAGGCTTTCCTAAAAATCCCACATCTTCGATGTGTATCAATACAAATGATCCCAGTGAAGATGAGTGCATGATAAATATTTAACCATTTCAGAGTATCTTTCATTTTTGCTGTACTTAACAAAGGACTACTAAAAATCCATATTGATTGCAACTGTGCGATAAGAAACGATAAAAATATGTGCCCATGTTATTTGCTGAGTTTTAGTGAATTTTTAATTACGTTCATTTAATCTGATTCGCAGTAAATATTTTTTTTAGGTAATTTTGACCATCCAATTTAAAATATTTATTTTCATTTCATTTGATTTTGCAATTCAATTATTGTTTTCTACAAAAAAATGTCTCTCCGGCAGTGATTGATTGCTCAGTGGATTTTTAATAAATATTTTATTCAAGCGTGTCTGCACATTTGCGCCCATTTCGGCTCTTGACATTACCTTGATAGCGCTTGACAAAGCCATCGCTCTCGATGTGATTCTCCCTATTACTCTCATCTAAATTGGAAGACGACTCATAAGGCGTATTTTGGAAAAGATTTGCATTGTGTCCAGAAGTTCCTGTGGCTAAAATCCGAGGAGTCTCCTGCTCAATTATCTTGTCGGCATACGCCCTATAGATGTCATGAATACTGGCAAAGCATTTCAACTGGAAAGGGAAGAGATTTGGGTGGGTGAAAAGAAGTGATATTCTGCCTCTGTTGTGTACGAATAAATTGGAAAGCTCTCTAAATCACCTTCAGTTTCCCACGTAAAAAATGATTTGGTGCAATCGTGAAATGCAATTCCACTACTGATGACTCCAAGTTGCTATTTACACCTTTGATCAATTTATATTCAGTTGTGTACAGCGGACTCGCCTGTAAAAGCGGGGATTTTTAAGGGGAACATAAAAAGTTACATCTGCATGTAATCTACTTAGAAACTATACATGGATGTCATTTTTCAAGAGAAGGCAAAATTACCGGGAGTTCGTTTATCGTCCACGTTAAATTTGCCGCTGGTTTTGAGAAATGTGAAGAGCAATTTCCTCTCAACATATCTCCCACTCTATATCGCGAGTGTATCCCCATAATTGATGGTCTTTTTTCTGGTAATTCTGTTGAAAAATTGTATACACATAAAGTTCATTAGATATCACGTTTTTTCGCGCTCAGTTGAAAGTTGCTGCTTTTTATTTATTCCTTTTTTAAATTACCTACTATCTCCATGTCGCCGGAAACAATTATTGTGTGGAAGGAAGGAGCATCTGCTGATACTTCACAACTGAATTTTCCAGACATCGTTGTATCTACGGCAGTTAGGACAACCTGGCTCTCGTTGGAAAGTGTTCGCTTTGGGTTGCAGAGGGCGAAAATGGAGAGAAAAGTCCTTTATGAACAATACTATTTTCTATTGCTTACTCAGGAAGCAGACCTCAGTGATAAAACACATCTACCAAATAAACTCAATATATTAAGCAAGTCAAGAGTGAAAATTTACGATCTCTTCATAAAGCTATAATAGTTTGTACTGTCGCAAATTTAATTACTCTATAAATTGGCATATAATACCAAAATGAACAGACAAAATGTGGATCTGAAATGCTGATTGCCATTTCGAGGCAATCTGCTGTGAGTTGATTTTGATTATGGAACATTTATTGGAAATTCATCAAAAGTTCTGAGTGTAATATGTATTTGTATAATAGCCCACGGGCTTCATGTTACGTATTTCATCTGATGATGAGAATACGGAGAAACTTTGGTTATGCATAGGGATGTTTAAATTAATACATATAATGAAACGAGAATCAATCCCATCTTCAAATCCACATTGGAAAATGGTCGAATATGTTTTCATGCAATGACTATTTATGTAAATATTTTATATCGCCGCTTAATTCTGAGAATTTGGCAAAAGGAGCATCGAAAGTCAAGCATCTAAACAAGGGTGGTACATAAAACAGAGCCCTTCCTGTTTACATGCAGATGCATATGTTTGGAAAACACAAAGGCAAGCAGAAGCCAGGAAAGATGTGTAAACTGTATACATTATGTATGTGAATTTTGTAGATTTATTTTAAGGCCACACAATAAAGTCTTTAACCGAGAATTCACAAGTGAGATCAGATAAAATTCGGTCAGAAAATTAGAAGATACTGTGCATAATGAAGCGGCCAAATAGTGAGGTGAAGAGTTGAATAGTGTGATAATAAAATGGCACAAAAGGTGATGCGGATGGAACTTACTTCCACTGATATTCCGGGTTGTGGGAATATTTTCATTGCTGGATTCTCCTTCGGGGTGTATCGATAAAATTCACGACGGCCTTTATACCATTTCACTGAATATAATATATCGCCTTCCATATCGTAATTACATATTAGATTAGCGTTATCGCCCTTCTTGACTGCCACTGGAATTGTGACACGAACATCTCGCAGAGCCACTCCAACTTCTGGGATACAGAGAATGCGAAAAAGTTCATTAGCTTTAAATTTTCTCTTCCACAATATAAATGATTGAATTATGAACTTTTGGGGCGAAAAGAAGTACGATATTTCTCTCCAACCGGGAAAAAAAGTTAGTCACTTGTCTCCAATCAATAATTTTCTCTCTCTCTCTCAACTTTCTTTCCGTCGTCAAATTCATTTACTTGCGGATTTCAGACATTATAGCTCACACTCTCCTCAGAAGGGGTGCGATTAGAGGGGTGAAGAGGAGAGACACAGTCCAGCTGAATCTTTCACCGAAAGCGCATGCATGCCTGAATGTAATTTTCTTTCAATTACATCACACCGTATTAATTAATGCGATTAATTTTCGATATACGAACGCATATTTACATGTGTACATTAGTCATTATGATGTCACGGACGATTATACGGATGTTTGTCTCTGTTGCAATATAATTAGCATCTCCAATGCAAACATTTAGTGACATTGAATTGTTAGCATAATTGTTCATAAGATCCCAAGGATATTTTGGCATAACTCCAACATTGTCATTTCTGATTACATTTAGACTAATTGCATGGATTAAGTTGCACATCAAGCATAGAATGTAAACATTTTAGCATGAGTACAAGGAGACGCTTGCATAATATTTTCACTGCCTCTTGACCTGCATGAACACATAACTCACAAGTGTGCGTACACATCGCGCTCCTTCTCAAGAAACCCATCTCTGACGTTGTGTCGTAATTTCTGTCTAATTACGATTCAATTCATAAGGACTTGTCCACTTTGCCGTTCGTCTGAAAACTTACAATACCAACTTGATTGCATGGAATTCTGAGCAATCCTTCGGCATTCATCACTCCATCCTCTCTATAGGCAACCAATCTGCATTCCAATTACCAAAGAGAATATCATTGGTAAATAAAATGATTGAGTTTTACTCTATTTATAAACCTTCTATGACGTGATGTCGCGTTCCGTTGCACGTTATCGATTTGGCTCAACTTTTCATTCGCCATCCGCACCATTAAAGTGGGTTCCCTCTCGGTTAATCAGATTAACGAAATGAAGCACAAAAATATACACCATATAAATGCATACATTTCTCCGTCTCTCTCTTCACCCTTGGCCATTGTATGTAAATACACCAAACATAAAACTTTCCCTAAGATTTATTCATTTTGCATCCACTCACATCATCCCTCGCTGTTTCTCTTCGCCTCTCGCACTTTGTGCCCGGGAAATTGATTGTGTGGTGGATTCTTTGAAAATATCTGAAGGGTAGCGAGAGTGAACGGAGGGATGCTGTGTGCGAGATGTGCATGAGTCACATCACAAGCATGACTCATTCATACATATGGTGAATTTTTCACTATTTGCGAGGAAATAAAAGAAGTTAAATAATATTATGAGAAGTTTCTTTCTAGTCACACTCAAGTGCAGCAGTTTAAATTTATGTGCTGGACAATAAAATTGGAAATGTCGATTCATTCCTTTGAGTTTTATGTCTCGAGACTGGACGAGTTTCCTAAGTTTGTCATAAAAGAAATCAATGAATAACATGAAGTTTGCGGAAAACTTATTAAACATTGTTTTTTGAAAGTATAGAAGAGGACTTTTTTTGGATAGTTTCTCTAAATTTCCATCTTTCTGAATGTCAACTGTTTTTCAAGACATGATAGTTTCATGCAAAAAACGCGTTTAAATAGCTGATGATTCAGAATTGCTCCGATAGAAGAATGATATCTCATCGCGATGATAGTAATCTGTGAAAAATTAAGTTTTTCTTCGCTTAACTTTCTCAACTCGCTTAGTGGATTTGCATGCTGTGTGCTTTGTGAATTTTCATATTCATAAGACGACGAGGAAAAACTTGAGGCACACTTTTGATTCGAAGAAGGAGTTGTTTGTTTCTGAATTGGCGTAAAAATTCTCTTCAGCATGCACGAAAATAGTTTCAAAAGCATTCCGCCATTGCGAGAGATTTATGACTGGGTCAGGAGTCTTACGGGTGAGCTCTGGGGCGTGAGGAGGGTAAAAAAAATGAGGGAACCAGAAGGTGAGTGAATTAATTAATGTGAGCTATAAATATCGGTGGTGATATGAACAGTGTGCACAACCCTTTTCGGGGGGTTTGGGAGATGTAAATTGAAATGAAAATGTCTTAAAGTGAATATTGTGTATGGATTTGCGGGGCTCTGTGACAATTTCCGCTACATTACCTGCAGCTATCAGCAAACAGAGAATTGAGGATTGTAAATCCACAACCCTTGGGTGCCACATATTTCACGTCGCTTTACACTATCGTCCTCCAATATATGCACATATGCCGGGTTGATTTGAGCACACACCCCGGCTCTTGCCTCACGGGCGGCGAAGGAGCGGAATATTATTTGGGAGGGTGGGCGGCCCTGGCGTGGGTGGGCTTCTCACCCCCAAATGGCGCCAGCGGGACGAACTTCCCTCTCGAACAGGTGACAGATACCGCACGAGGTGCGCCTTCTTCACCATAAACTATCGCAATTTAAATGCGACAACTCACACACATCTCAGCCCCCTGTCGCGTCCCTGTGCTCACTCTTTCCTGCCTTTTTGCAGCACTGCCACGGAATCGTCTGTGCAAATATCTTCCTGCCACTGAAATGTTATCAGCTTCATTCTGAATCACACGCCACGCCAGTGTACATCCTCAGTCCTGGCACGGGTTACGGAAACTTTCCCGCTTTACATTGTCTCTCATCTTGCACAACATTCGCGGGGGTATAATTTGAGGGCTATAAAGATGTTGTCTGTTCTCACGGGCTCGCCAGATCTAATTGAATTCTCCAGCTAGAGACTCAAAAGTCTGCCAGTCAGCGGCGACTCGGGCCCATGTCTTCTGCAACGATAGAAACAAATTATATCTCAATTAGGTAACTTTCCTGGGCATCCACAAGTTGAGTGCGGTGGGATCATGAAAAATATATAAAAGAAAGCTGTACCAAAAAGTTTCCACCTCAAGGAAACAAAGACTTTCCGTCCAAAAACTCCCACAACTCGCGTGGATTGAGTGAAAATTTCACATTTTGAACATGATTAATGTTATCTCATTAATTTGTGAGTCAGGAAATGCGATATCATATCCGACAAATGGTTATATATTGATGGAACAATTTCCAGCTATTTCCAGCAATTTCCTCATTTTGATCCTCAATTCCTTCAGATATCCCAGATTTCCAACAGGGACAACTGCGTAGATTTGAGCATGTTATATTCATGTCCTCAAATAAATGCCATTTTGTTTTGTTTATGCAACAGTACATTTAATTCTCATTTGGTGGTTTACTATTTTGAGCACTTTCACCACAAAATTCGCCATTATCACATTATAAGAGAATGAAAATTGCGTGTTAATCTGATCATAAATTTCGCACACTATACATATATTAGCTCTTTCAATGGCCATTAACCATGATGTGATGCTCTAATGTTGCCAGAGCTTTTGGCACAGTCGATTCTCAAAAAAATAAATGCAAATTGATTTTATGGTTTCGCGATTTTTTTCTGACAGACCTTTGTATTTATACATATGTATATTTTTCGTTATGTCTCTGAATGTGTGCATGTATGCAAATGCATATAAATTACCGTGCTTTCTGCTTATTTACTTGGGGAATCATAACATATTCACGCTCCTCCCAAATATCTCACAAACGCGCATATGTATTTCACCCATGCAAATACGAATGGGAAAAGTAACCAGATGGAAAAGTTTTTCAATTTTACGGTGTCAATATATGAGGACATATCCTGTATTGATAGTTCTATTGCACTTCAATTCGCTGAAGGAATTCTTATTAAGTTTTCCTCTGTCCTTGGCCTGAGTGCAAAATCTTTGCAAAATAGATCGAAATTTAATTCCTTCACTCAGTTTTCAGGCAATAAAACATGTCGACAGAGTTACGAGCAATATCCCAATGGTCTGAGAGTAATGGTTTCGCTCATCAAGAGTCCAGCTTGAAAATTTTATTGGTCTAAAATTTTATGCTTCCTTTTTTCCACCCTATTTTATAACACCTCATGGGAGGTTTTCATAGTTTCGCATGAGCTTAATTGAAATAAAGTGGCTCTGTAATTTTAATTTCATCCCCCTCAAATACCCATGTGTGCAGCCCACTCTCCACCATATTATTGAAAGTCAATTTTCGTGAATTTACTGTTCCGTCTACAAAAATGCGAGCTATACTTTTCCTATGTGTAGAAAATATTAATCAACTTGAAGTTACTCAAGTCGAAAATTGAGTACGTGCCATGCGGAAAATTTCTCGTATTTGTTTTACTACTCTTGTGGGGTTAGCTTTTCCAGGCGGTATTTCTCCTATAGTCACTGATATGTTCAAATTACCACATTTTTTCACTTTTCTCATCGCAGAACGAAGGCAGAAAAAAAATCAAAATTCCTCTACTCAAGAAAAGCACATGTGAGAAGATATCGTTTCATTTGGGTACATTTTATGTGATCCCTGTGCGACACAGGCAAAATGTAGCAGAGAATACACAAATATCCTTTACTCGGTTTCTTTTATTTAGCGCCCGATATTACGAAAATGAAAGCAAGAACCTTGAATAACAGCATGCGATTATAAACAGAGATATACAGAAAAATGTGTTATATAATTTCTGCAATACAATTTTAGACAATCTCATAAATTCTGATAGAATGTACCATTCAAAAAATTTGTTTCTGCTATCGACACACATCTGAAAATTCGATTGCAAGATGCAGAATTTTTACAATTCCACTGGGACACAATTGTTGATTGAGAAAGTTTCTAAAATGCCATGTTTTACTATGAGCGAGAAATTTTATGTGCTCATGAAAATGCTAACACAAGTATTGAACGCGTAGTTTTTTTCTCACTCTATGTCTCTCTCTCTGTCAATTGACGTCCTATTGTTCATTGATTTCACAGGGACACATTAGGTTCAATGTACTGTGATATTTATTTTGAAGAACGCAACCTATATAGTCGCTCTCCTTTATTAAACTTCTTTATCCACACCACATTAACATTGAAAAATGAGGAGGAATCTAATAAAAGCGAAATGGGAAAATTGCTGTCTCTTGTGTGAAACTTTTAATGTCATTCAGCTCATTAATCTTCAAGATTAATTGCGATAAGTCGTGCAAAAAAATAAAATCACGCTCCCCACGTCGAATCGAAAAAATGCGAAAATAGTTACAAAGGTAGCGAATTTACAGAGAAAGAGTCCCTACAATGCTGGAAGCTGGGTAGTGACTGGTGCAAATTTCCCACCCACATTGTATATGAATGTATAGAAAGTGCCATTGTCAATGACTGTTCACACAATAGATGGCAATCGATTTTAATACGAATCGTGATCTGTTTGACCCTTTTAAAATTCCATTCCCTTTTGATTTGACACTGGCAGATATGGCTGAAATCGCAGGAATAATGATATTTTTGTAATGACACATCATATCACGATGAAACTTCAAAGCATATTAAAAGATTTTATCGCATCGTGCTAAAATACTAAAGCACTCTTATGTTTTAATTTGCAAAACTGATAAACTCCAAATAGCCATAATTTCAATTAAACTCTCTTGTTTATGCCACACAATTCAACTCATACTGGGCTGAGCATTAAATTTTCAATTGCACCAAATTTGCGATGAAATAAAAAGACACTAATTTGAGCATTTCCGGAAAATTGTGTGTGTGAGGCAAAAAAAAATCCTGAGAAATAAGTGACTCCGGCAATTTGTTGAGTTTGTTAAATTTGGTGGATCCATTTTTCCATTCATGTTATTTATAACATTTGTCGATTTTTCTGCGGAAACTTTCCTAACAATTGTTTCAGCATGCATACGATATTGTCCGACTATTTGCATATATTTTCCTATGTGTGCATTCTCGCAGTCCTCACCATTGTTTTTCATTACATAGGCTTTCTTTTGTCAATAAAAATTGCATTCTCTTCATATGTTCACATATGAGTGTGAAATTCGATAATGACTAGTTACCATTTTCCAATTCCTCTGTCGCGGTTTCCATTCCATTGCTCGCAATAATGCATTATGAATGAATAAACAATCACTTAAATGGAATTGGAAATAAAAAATAAAAAGTGATTAAACGTGTGATCAATCGAACATACATATATTTTTACGTATATTTCGATGTGCGTTTCACTATTGAATATTTTACAGCGCATTTGTATGATTATTTTAAAAATCGAACTTTTTAAATTGAATTTTCCCGATTAAGAGAGCAAAGTAAAAATTCTAAATGAAGAATCGACGAGTTCTATGGTGAATTTTGCATTAACACACCGTCAGAAGTGTATTCAGAGCAGCTTGTTGCTGCACAAGCGTATAGATTCGCGGTGGGAATAGAGCAAGAACACCGATGTATTTGGCAGAAGAACAATCTTATAGGTTAAATTCGTTTAGGAAGCCCCAGGGAGTGCTAACATAGCTTCCATAGGAAATTAGTTTCTTTCTTTGCCTGTTCTTCGGGCGAATACTCCTCGCGGGCGGCATATTGAAGGGTATAAAATAGAGAGTTAGATATACACCCTTTTCTCGTGGGGTGGAGAGCCTTCGGGAGTCGTGAAACAATTCTCTAACTTTGCCGGATTGTGATTGTGCAAAGGAGTCATGTCAGGACTTTAATGTATTACAAATTTCCTTTCCGCTTCACCCAACACAGAGCCCCAGAAGATTCACTTGCAAATGAAGGAAAATAATACAGGATATTGGAAACCGCATTTATTACCGCTCTGGCCCTATTTTTATTTTTCCCTCTATGCCCTTCCCCAAAGCCATGTGTATGTACTGTGGTGAGAATTCACAGTTGATGTCTTCCGGACGGTTGAGCAATTTATTGTTGTAAAATTGTCGGGAAATACTATAAATTAAAAAATATAGGTTTATTGATGGTTTGTTTTGTTCAGAAGTCGAATTATGTAACAACAGACCCGCCCAATCTTACGCCCCGCCTCTTTCTCCTTAAAATTATTCATCATTAAATGTACATCAGCTTTCTTTTCTTTATACACTGAGAATATTCGCATAACAAGACATGGTGTTATATTCACAGATTAGCCGATGCTATCAAGGCCATATTACAAATCACCATAAATCTCCAAACGACTTCAAAAGTATTGAATCGAAAATTCATGGTGGACAGGTGCTGAAAATGTGTTTTGAACGTCAATGCTCATAATTTTGTATTAAGTAATCAATTATCGCCATACATTATACTGTCAGGGTGGAGAGTTTTTGCTAAATATGTAAACCATTTGACAAATTGAATCCAAGATTGAATATATCTGGTGTCAAAGCACCTCCAGAAACCTCACGCTTATGTACGCAAATGCTATTATGCAATTGAATTAGTTACGATGATTGTCAAAGAAA